AACGAATGAAACGGTATGTGGTGAGGGGAGGGGAGTATATCGAAGGGGAGCATTTGAATGTAGAATAACTTTTATAATAAAACACTTTTTCGTAACCAGTCTCATTATTTAATAGCCACACCCTCGTATGTGTTATAAAAAAAAAAAAACAACAACGTAAGACAACGGGGACGGGCGCGGCCTCTGTTGTAGGCGGTAAGTCGGGTAAGGTAGGTAACAGACGGGAGTCCTAACGATAAATCGATGCTGACGAAAAACGATTCTGAGCGGAATTCAAGGGACAGTGATGCTTTTTCGACAATGTATATATATTTATGTCGTATTATAGTAAATTAATTAAACAGGCATTATATTTTTTTTTTTTAATAATATTTGTTTAATATCATTCCAATTTTCTCGTTTTTTCTACGTTTCTCCCGGCGTTTATATTTGCTGAAAAACTACTGGGAAAATCAAAAAAATTACCTCTAAAGTGACTTCTCAATTAGATTTATTTTTAGAAGAAAAAGTGCTTTCATTGTAAATCGGAGCGAAATTTCGGGTAGAAAATCCGTCCGCAGAAAAAAAAAATCGTAATATTTTACTAATATATGTCCTACGATTATTCGGTTTTCTTCCCTTTTTTTTGTCTGTTTTTGACATTTAATGAGAAAACTTCCGATAAAATCGAAAAATAACATCATTGAAGTACCACTTTAAGAAAATGTCCTTTCAGAAAAGGGTTTATATCGTAAACATCGGAGTAAGCTCCCCGGTAGAAAACGTGTTAGCATAAAAAAAAAAAAAAATAATAATAATAATAATAAACATCTCTGTAAAACCAATATATATATATTGTTCGCTCCACTCAGAATCAAAAAACAACAATATTTTTAACATTGGTATTTTTTTCCAAGGCCACTCGGCCGACTGAGCGTACGTTACGGGGTATAAACATTTGTTCCTCGTCCAGGAATCCCCGTGATAAACTAATCAAAATATTACGAGTATACGCAGATTCGTCTAAATTCGTTTTGACCGTTATACCGAGCATTTCGTTTTAAGCGAACCGAAACCATTGCTAAATCACCGTCGTTTTCTCCCCGGACACCCTTCGGGCTGTTTTCACGATAGGCTACTAGTAGTACTCATTGTTCAGTCCAACTGGATATATTTTAAAAGTATAACGTTGTCTATCGGAGCTCGAGTTAAACCAGTTATGCATGTCGATACATTTATAAATTAATAATATACTAAATAGTACACTGAACGAGAAGTGCGAACCTAAATATATAATTATTGTTTTTCTGGTAGAGAAATTTATCGAATTTTAACATTCCCCGCTCAATTTGAGCCACTTTGACCACTGATCATACTCCAATGACTACGAACGTAATGGTAAAACCGTGTAGATATTTCAACTGTTAAAAGTCACGGCATTCAAAATCCGATAGAAAATACAAATGTACAAGTGATAACAATACGACACGTAACATATTGCGCCTACTTGTTTACTATAGTTTTGTAACGCGCTATAGCTATACGTGCGAAAACTGAATAATAATAAAAAAAAAATTAACAAATTAAACAAACGCGTGTGACCACCGCCTCCATCACCTCCGTAGTCGCTGCGCGTATATGTTACGCATAAATGTATCCGGGAAACGAAAACAACAAGGTACGCAATTGGCAAAATCGAAACAACATTAATATAATTTTTTTTTTTTTTTTATATTATTATTATAAAAAATCATTACACCGGGTTTTCGCGTTGTTATTATGAGAATAGAGTCCCGGCTGTTTTACGTCAAAACGAATTGTACGTCGGTTATAAAAGCGCGGGTCGGGACGCGCGTGTATTTCGCACGCCCGTCTTGCGGATAATTGAGTAAGTATACCGGTTCCGGAATGCTTATGCGATTTTCTCTGGCGTATACGAAGCGGCGCATAAAAAAAAAAAAAAAAATTATATCACGATATTATTAACCGCGTGTCTCGCGAACGGTCTACGATACTTTATATAGGCACGTCTTGCCGCAGCAACAGTCCCGGAGCTAGGAACCGACAACTTTTCTCGTTACGTTTTGCCGTCACGCGACACATTGTGTGGGCGCTCCTCGTGCACACGACGCATTGTAACGGTTTTACAGACTTGTATTTTCGCCCGGGCACGTATGCAATCTCGGTATTTGCATTGCCACTAAAACAGTTTATACGAAATTTCGCAGCAGCCGAGAACACGAGTGTGGTCGGACATAGGTTAGGTGCCCGTCTAATTATTTCGAAAGACTCTGCGTTATTTGCGTTCTGTTGTTTTGCGTTTCACTTTGATCTCGCGTACTCGACGGCAGAGAGCGGCGCGCGAACGCGTAGACCGCGAGTCGATTTTTAAATTTGGTTTTGAAAAAAAAACATAAAAAACACGTCACGCGGTGCAGTTATCGGACGTAACGCGAGACGCCGACGCGTTTACATTTTTCGGAATTCGGACACGGGCAACAGTTTTAACGGACGTGACGCGCACCATTTTAGACGTTATTAACTCATTACGTCGCACACCGACATTTTCGGCGGCGAAACCGGTGTCCGGTCTCGGTAGCGACCCGATGCGCGACGAAACCCGTGTGTGTGGACAGGCGCGGGATTATAAAAAAAAAGGTCCGTCGTAGACGGGCGCGGGGGGGGTGGCATTTGCGAAGTGCGAAAATTCAAAACGGACAGAGACGAATGTACGACACCGTGCGAACGGCGCGAAGCGATACGGAACGACACACCGTGGCTACCGCGGCCAAATATACGTACGCGGGGGGAGGGGGTACGGTCACGGCTTTTTTGTGACGCGTAGGCGCAATCTATCCGGCAATTAACATTACACTGCCGGCCGGGTCTCATCGCCGCGAAAACGGCGAGGCCGCGGAACGAACGCGACTACGGCACCGCTCGAGTGATCCGCGGGACGTGCGTTCGTGCAGATGCGATCGGAACAAGACGCCGGGAAACGGTCGGACATGCGTCGAGACACCCGGAACGGTTGCGGAATGTGTTGCGGCGGCCGAAGCGAAGCGGACCGCGCGACGCGCTCGAAACTCCGGGACGAATTAAATTGCGACGCGAGAGCCGTCGCTCTCGAGTAGCAGCGGAATCGCGGTAGAAATCATCCGAGGGAACCGCCGGAACCGCGGTAGAAAAAGCGTCCCGCAGACCGTGCGGGTGAATACCGGGCGCCGTTAATATTTCACCGAACGCTCGACAAACGACGTATACCGCGGCGGTAGTACGCGCGCGCGTGCCTATACGGAATACGAATAAAAACCGTCTCGAAAACACGGGCATGGGGGGGGGAGGGGCGGTAAGTGAATATACGACTGTAACATACGTGCGGCGTAAAAATGAATACGTATACGCGTGTATACTCGTAAACGCGGGAAAAAGACTTTCGATAAATACTCTCAGTGCGCTGCGGATTGAAATTTATAACATGCGTGTATCGGAAGAAAAAAATAAAAAAAATTCTACGCGCATCGCGACGGATAACGTGTGTAATGCGCGTCTCGAACATTGTCCGCCGCGGCGAGAAGCGCGCGCCGAGCGGAGGGGTCAACGGGAATGTACGCGGCACGGGATTCTGCGATTTTCGCGATACCCGCGCGCACCGCGTAATCCACATCGTTGTTGTTCGGGAGAACGCGTTTTCACGCTGTTCCGGCGTACGCGTGCTTCGTGCGGACGGTACGGCGGCCGACCGCTAGTGTTTGGGTGGCCGCACACCGCGGTCCGTTTTTCGTCCGTGTACGGTGTACGGTGCGGTTCGAACAACGTTCACCGATAGTGCGTGTGTGAGCGCGCGCGGAAAACGGAATGAAATCGAACGAGTCCGTGTTCGGCGTGCGAAACGAAGAAAACCGAAGGCGCGCGTCCACGTGCGGTGTTCGAACTGAAACCCGTAAGGGTTGTAGTAAAAAACCGAAACAGAACAAAATCTCATTTCAATTTTAATTTTAACCGAATGAAACTGAGTATATATACGACGAGAGATTAACCGAACGAAGTTTCAGATTCGCAGTGTTACCACAAGCGTGGCAAAAAAAAAACAGTCTCATCACTTATTGGTCAGACCTTGTACATAAATATACGTAAACAATTGCAAATTGGATATAGCCTAGAGTGTTATTGAATACTTAAATCCTTAAACGCTTGTGCCAGTCTTCGGGACGGAACCGGTAATTCGTTTGATGAATTTACGTGCGAATGTTGCGATAATTTCAGCGGCCAATTTTCTTTTCTTTTTTTCAGTTTTAAGCACCATTGCTACAGCAGTACGCGCGCAACGTACCGCGCGTACGGAAAACCGATACGCCGGACCGCGGTGGGCGCGATCGTAACGTTATTATTATTGTGCGGCGAACGCGAAACGACCGGGGTATGGGTAAAAAAAAAAAAAAACCGTGTGAATGTTGTGTATATATTTCATTACGAATCGGCTATTGTACACGCCGCCGCCGCCGTCTCTCCGAGACGACTGTATTGCCGGGACCGGAGCGACGATGAAGACGTCAGAGACGAGGAAAACAAAAAAAAAACAACCGAACAACCAAACCGAAAGAGTAATTGCACGTTACGCGCGCGCGCGCTATTACGGCCCGCGGCGGTGGCGTTCACACGCGCGAGCGGGGTACGGCCGGCCGTCCGTCCGCCGGGAGACGACGGCGACGCGGATGCGTTCCGAGCGGCGCGGGTAGTGCACTCTACTCGTAGCCGTATTGCAACGGTAACAAATAATAACGATAATACACCGGACAACCCGACAACACGATAATAACAACAACAACAACAACGTACAACGATAATAATATTCGTCGGGCCGCCGCCGCCGCGACAATGGGTGCCGTTCTAATTGGATTTCGGAGCGACGAGCGGCGGTGCGCGTGCGTACGCGCACCGCGGGCGGGTAGGGGCGGCGATAGATCGCGACGCGCGGCCGTCGTCCGAACGAAACCGGTTTTTCGACATTCTTCCGCGGACCGCTCTCCCGCCCGCGGCGCCCCCCCCCCCCCCCCCCCCCCCCNCCCCCCAACGTCCCGGGCGCCCGTGTCGCGTCGTCGTCATAATAACTCACCGGCCGCACGCCCCCGAAAAACCCTCTCCGCCCGTCGCCCCGGCCGCTCTCGTTCTCGCCGCCCCGCGGATAACTATCGGCGGCCCCGCCCGTCCGCCGCGCAATAATTGCTTTATTAGTGTCGCCGCCGCAGCCGTCACCGCCCGGGGAATATCGTCACTTTGTCTGCGTCCTATCTCCGAACACGTCGCTTCGGTCGCGTTTTCGCCGAAAACGATCGGGTTCCGAAAAAGAGAATATCGGGGGAAAATGTCCGCGCGTCGTGCGGCGCACGCGGGAAAGAACGAAACAGAAACGGGAGACGCGCTATTTGTGTACAGCTATGCGTCGTAACCGAAATTACGCTGATTCTCTCCGGGGTTTCGCGTTTTTTATTCTGCCGTCTTATTCGTGTACAGGCACAACGATCTGTTTATTCGGCGGCGGAGTGAAATCGTAATACGTAGCGTTTTTCCGAAAAATCCCGAGAACGCGCGGGGCGGCGTTACCGCGGAAAATTCGTTCTGCTGGGTATGCTGTCCTTATAAAAAGCGTTTTAAGGGGAAAAAAGGATCCGGCGGTCGGACTGTTGAAAATTTCGCCGGAAATTCTGCATCTCTCGAGGGTATCCGTGGGAAAATCAAAGCATTTCGTTCGCCATAACGACTAAGTGTTTTTCCGACATTAAACAAAATAAAAACGAAAAAACAATTTCACAGCGTTCGGAATTTCGAAAAATGATTCGAGTACGGTGCGTACGGCACCAGACAGTAATCCGCGTTCTTTGTTCTTGCGAGGCGCCGCGTAAAAGTCCCACTCGGACTTTTCGTTCGGCGGTATAAAAAAAAAGACGGACGGCCCGCCGCGTCCGCGTCTAACCGTACGAATATCGCGTTTTCCGAGCGTATAAACGCGCCCAATCAAAACGAAAATACGGCCGAATCCGGTACACGCTCGGAACCGGAAAACCGTTCGTTTTCGGATTCCGAGCGGGGCGTTTTTTTTTTTAAACGTAAACCGTAAACTTTTCTACCGGGAATTTTGCTCGGGTCGCGGGTCAACGGGCGCGCGGACATTACCGCGGCGGCACGGCGATAATTACCGTTAAAGGCGTTATCGTTGCCGCCGGTCCGCGGGCCCGAAACATTGTCCGTTCGTGTCCGGCGCGGGGTCGTAATCCCCGTCCCGACCGCGGTGGCCGTCCACTGCCGCCGCACACTGCCGCCGTCCGACGGCTCCTGCGGAACGCCGTCGCGTCGTCCGTGCCGCCGCGGAGTGGACCGCACGCGCGTGCCAAAATCTTTTTGCGTTGCGCCGCGCCGTCCGGGTTTTTACGCCGCTCGCGAGACGCGTAACCGTTTCGACGGCCCCCCTACCACCCGCCCCTACGCGCGTTCGCGCCGCCGCCGTTTCGACCGAATCGGACCGCCGCGACGGCCGCGTGTCCTCGCGGCAAACGGACGGCGTTTTTTTTTTTTCGTTTTTCGAATTCCGAACGGAGCGAGCGGATGTATCGGTTATTAACGAGACGACGTTGATTTCGCTTTGTTGTTTTTTTTTTTTTTTTTCCCGCGGACCACTTTTCTACCGGCGGTTTCCAATCGTACTCGGGCAGGCGCTGCACGGGGGTAATTTTTTCCGATTTTCCTCGGTAAACGCGACCGACCGCGGGAAAACGCGGGAAAACTAGGTGATCGTTTTGTCATGTGCATTGCCGACGACGCGACACTATCGACCGAACTCCGCTCGGAATCGTCGCTCGCCGACGCGCATTAAATTATGACCCGTGTGAACCCGTGCGTGCGACCGTGTCCCCGTTGTACCGGGACGGCACTTTTCGTATTGGCCATCCCTGGCCAGTGTTGATTTCCCGTTTTCCATATCGCTTTTGAGCGGCCGTAACCGGGGGACACGCGCGTTTTCAAAAACGCGATTCGGCCCGCGCCGTCGAACAAATAAAAACCGCGCACGGCGCCGACCGCAGACACGGTAGTACGATACGTTTGCGTAACACGCTGCGCTTCATCGGGACACGCGAATCGGCCCGCGCGCGCCCAACGACATCGACCGACCCGACGTTCCCGGCGGCCGTCCGGTCCCGCGGCGCTTTCGGTGCGCCAGTCCGATGTTCCCGCGACCGGGGATCGTCATTAAAAAAAAAAATGATTCTACGGTCGATGCGTACGGGTGTTTTTCGACGGAAAAAAAAAAAAAATGTATACATTTCGGATAATCACGTACCCGTATGTTAGGTTACCCACCCGCGTACGGATTAGAATGTACGCGAACCCCGAAGCATACTCCCCGCACCCCGCCCGAGGTATGCCGTCGTTAAATTTACAACGTCCGTGTTACGTCAACGTGACATTTGCTTATAATGGCGTGCGTGTACCTGTACCGAACCTGCACGGTCGGCAGAGGAAGAAACCTTCGCTTCCCCTCCCCCCGGAGCCCGGCGTTTTCGTGAACGACGGAACCGGTAGCTAATATTGTGATTACGGTAAGAGTATTTCTGCATTTCTGACGATATTGTTGTTGCGCGACACCAGCTGACGTTCGACATCGGGTGTCCCGCGCGCACGGTACCCACGGCGACATAATCATGAATAATAAACCAAAAGTAACGGATTCGACGTACTGGTAGCTTACCGGCGCAGCTAACGGTCGCAGAAACTTTCGTCGTGGTTCGATTCGCGATGTCACGGGATATTGTGTTCGGCTCTATACGGTTAATCGTTTACAAACCGGCTTTTTTTTTTTATCCGTAGTTTATTTAGTCTTGCCGGGAAAATCCCAACAAACCAACATTGACGTGCGGTTATATTTCTTCGGGAATTAAGTGAAAAAACAATTTTTATTTCGCAGTATCGTTTTTAGTTATAGCAAAATAATTGTCATACAATTCACACTGTACACAATTCAATTGACAAATTTTTAACTATGGCTTTTTCAAGTTTATCGATTTGTTTTCCGTAACGTTACGAAATTGATCAAGAGAATTGAACGATTCGATTAATTGACACTGATTAATAATGAACGCGAATGGCAATATTGCCCGGAAAATCGTACGGGATTGTGTTTTACGAAGAGGTAAAACGTACGGACAGTGTTTCACCGGCGTTACCGTGGCCAGTATGTTTTCTTTTTACGTCGGCTCCCGTTTCCGTATACCGAGTTTGTGCAATATCCGCGAGTTCCGTCCGACTGCGTCCGCGTACCCCCGCTCTGTACGCCCGCGGTCCGCGGTCAACTGCCGCCATCGGTGCGCGGTCGTCGACAACGCGAATTCGCCGGGAGTGCGTAGCGGTAGTCTCACGTTGCTCGAGCGCAGAAAAGACGACGCCGTCGATTTCGGCGTCACGGACGGTGTTTGAAAAGCACGTTGCCTTCGACCAGTACGTTTCGATCCGACAGCGCCGTTGTCGAACTAACGGATGCGCCGCGACAATTTTATCGCTCGTTACAACCGTTACGCGGTGCGGTATTGCATTGCCGCTCGTGTCGGCGGCGGCAGTTGACCGCGTGCGCGCTGTACGCGAGCGCGCGCGGTCGACCGGAAAACGCCGTGGTCTCGTCGCGAGTCTCGTCGCAGTGCCGCGGACGCAATGCGCGCGAAATGGAATTCTAAACACACGGCCTCGGTTTTGTCGTTAGAAAAACCGAAAAACCGCACCGTAGCCCCCTCCCCCCCACCACCCCCCGATAACGTCGGCGTCGCGAAACGCTCGCCGTTACAATGCCGCAGCCGACGCGGTTGGGCCCCGACCGTGAATAATCAAGTGTCGTCTGCCGGCGCGTTCGTCGGGAATCGGCGGAACATTCGCACGTAATGGGCGCGTCTGTTCACGCGGACGACGCGAAAGGCCCGTTGTCGTACACACGGTCCCGGCGGAGACTTTGTAAAAAAAAAATAAAAACGCAAAAAAAAAAAAAAACACCACTCGACTTCCGGCGCGGCGAGCAAAATAACAGCCGTTCCGGACGGTCGGAGGCAGACGCGTTCAATCATTTTCGCTCAAAGACTTCGCGTCTCTATACGTTTTCACGTGACGACGACGTCGTCGCCGTCAGCACCCCGTATTTATTGTGGGGCGGCGTTTATGCGGTTTTTTTTTTTTTCCCCCCGTTTTCGTTTTTGTTTTTTCCTTAACGAGTGACGTTTTTTTTATTTTTTGTGTTCCCGATGCCCCGGTTTTTAAACGTTCTCCGCGAAACTCGATCAAAGGTAAGGGTTCATTATGTAATATATCAAAAACGCATTGTTTATGCGAATACATAGTCTATACGCATACCATATTATATATACAAAAACAGTGTTTGTTCGAAAATAGGTTAAGTACTTATGCGTTTGACATGTTTGCGGTTTTTTTATTTTTCTCTGACGGTTGACGACGTCGGCGGCATCAACCGTATTATTACTAGTGTAATAATAATATATAATAATAATAATTATTCAAAAAAAAAAAAAAAAAACACGCACTCGCACAAGTGTATAGCGATCGGAATACAAAATGATTCATTAAAAATATTATCGGAGTGTAGTACTCGAAAGGTCGTTTGCGATTTTTTAATTTTGTAAATCTTGTGAAAAATATTTCCAGAACGCTGTGTTTCGCCCGGTGTACTCGTTTAAACCACTATGCGTTCTCGTATAATGTAGACGAACTATGTATGTGTATACGATAGAATATTCGAATAATCGTACTGTTTGATCAACCTCGTGTTCCGAGATCCGACCGAACGATACGGATCGGTTCGCGTATAGGTTCGTGGGATACTAAAATTGGAGTGAAGTCGGACAATAGACCGCGATCATAAAACGACCGTTACTTTCTGTAAAAATTTATTATCAAATATAATTAGCACTCTATCTCCGGACACAGTCATGGAATATAAGATCCGGATACTAGCTGTTTACTCTGTGTTAATTTTGCGGCCGATTAGAGCAGCGGTTTTAGTTAGCACTTTATATCATTTTTTTTTCCCTGGGCGTCTCAAACCCAATTTTATAGATATTTTTTCTATGATGAATCTAAACTTTGATGAAGAGAATCTTCTATAATCTATACGATTTTAACCCACCGAATGCAGAATCGTTTTGGACGTATCTCGTTATTGCACCGGTTCCTTCAATTACGCATTTTTGAAAAATGTATAGGCCATGTTTTGATCTGTATATTAATGTACAAGTGTGGAGAAAAATGCATTATCGGAAATTAGAGGGTTTATTCAAAAGATTGAATATTGCGGACGAGTTAAAAAGGGGAAGACTAGAATGGGCAGGTCGCGTGTCTAGGCAACAAAAATCCATGATAAAATAAAGCGCTCCGAGAAAACCAAAAAGGCAGAAGACCTCTAGGTAGACCTAGACTGCGATGAAAACATCGCACTAATAAAGATATACTGAGTGTCCCGAGAGACGATAATAGAAACCGGAACTGGGAGGACATAGCGAAAAATAGAAAATAATGGAAGAGGACTTTATTTTGTGCCAAGATGGTCTTAACAGTCTATGACAAAAAAAAAAAAAAAATTGAGTTAAATGTTTAGACAATTACAAAATAACGTCTGAATGTTGTGTTCAAATAGTTATCGGCAAAATGGTCATGTACACATTTTATAATTGGTGTTTTATCCCTGTAACCCGTGTTAAACGCCTTTTCGTTTACGCGAACACGTTGTTGCTATAGCGCGTATATTAAGGGGCCGTTTTTTTTTTTTTTTTTGAAGGAGTAATACATTGGCAATGTATATGCACACATACCGTATTTATACATTCATAATTTAAAATTTCGTTCTTTTACTACTTTTATACTCGCTTTCGGGGAAAAACGTTCCGGAGTTCAATTTTTAACACTTTCCGAGATGGTATATTTTTTCTCTGTATGATGATCTACGATCTTCGAATTTGAGTTTGTTTACCAGCTATAATCGGTTTCAAATGTAAATTTACTTTAAACAAAATATATCGAAGTATCTTACAAATTGTCTTTTGGACCTAAATGTACAGATATCCGATTTCGAAAATACGATGAAATATCGAAGACGTTCGAAAACATTTCAGCCCCCGAAAAACGGAGTGAATAACGGAAAATACTAGTTAAACTGTACACACTTACGGGTAGGTGTATACGCCTGTTAAATAATACTTCGAAAATATGTTTGTGAATCGGACAGTATTGTACTTGGTCAACAGTTTGGAGTGCCTTTAGATATTTTATGATTTTGGTCATTAAACGATAATGTTTAAGTACATTATATATTATGTTGGCATTTTCTCCCATTTTAATCGTAAACGAACTCGACCCGACTCGTCATCGTCGCGTGGTAAAACGTAATAGTAAAAAAAAAAAAAAAATTATATGTAGTTGTCAGAATTATCGGTATATTATTCCATAAGATGTTGTTGCTGCATTATTAACATTTTCCGGTGGTTGAAATGAGAAAATACTCGAACGGTGACTGTATTTACTTCGGTAATCGAGAGGAAACTTTATCAAACTTTTAGGAAACCCATAGCTTCTAATTTCTAAAATTTTTTTCTCTCATACACATTTGTTCACAAGAATGTTATACTAATAGATTTAAAAATAAACTGCACACCCACTGAAACGTTATCCTACGCATATGCCTGCTCGCGGAAAATAGAGAAAAAACGGAGTCGGATTACGTATACAATCTAAGCAAGGAATTAATTTTTAACACAACTAATTCGAGTTTATAACATTTCATTCAAAATGCCTCAGTGACAATAAGTAAAGCGTCCTCCGATTCCGAAGACTTAAATTCAAGGAGACCGATAATTTTTCATTAAATAAGAATAGGGACTCTATCTCATTCCGCTCTTACACCCACTTTGTCGTTTTCGTAAAGTTGGGGTTGAAAACTAATTAAATTTTAATTTATTGTCGGTTTAAATTAGGCTCTGCACGACCTTCTTGACGAATAGCCAACTACAACATGATACATATTTTTTTTCATTCTTTATGTTATCAAAATATATTTAAAAATTAATTTTCATTCATCACACTACATTCCAACAGACATTTGTTCCGCGCTAAGATTTGACTGCACTAATTGTCCCTCACGGTTTCGTCCGTGCACAGTGTTGGACGAAAAACAAAATAAATGTAAAAACGTGTCTCCTTGTCCCCCCTTGGTATTTTTGTTTTTTTTTTTTAAATGGTATTTTTCTTTACCCATGACAACCAATAACCAACTAATAATAATAATTAACTTTTTCATCGATGTCACCAAGCTAACAAATTAAAAAAAAAAAAAAAAAATTATATTTTCGTTCGTATAATACCAAGAACCCCATGTTGAATTGTCGGACCCCGGATCCAAAGTGAATGTACAAAACCCTTCATACGGTTATGTATATGTACACACTTCCGGACCTTTGCGTGCGACTCGGCTGTAAATCTTGCACAGACAGACAGACGGACACTTTCTTTTTGTCGGTAATGATAGAAGATTATTGAAAAATCTCTTAATCATTATACGGACAAAAAAATACAATAACTGTTACTTAGTTAATTTCCAGGATATTTTTTCTTGAAATCAAGATTGTGGTTTTACGATTGCGGATCACGAGTGGTTCTTTTTTTTTTCATATTCTAATTGGTTTTTACTGCGTTTGAATCAAATTATTGGCTTACGGTTATTTGATTTCGTATAGGTAAGTACTTATATATTTGTGTGCCAATAATGTAGGTACCAGACATTTATCTATGTATTTACTATACATAATATATTTGTTTAACTTTGTTTTTTTTTTCCATAACATTTGAATTGCAGTTATATTACTGACGTTATAAAATATTTTTCTCAAAGCGTGTGCTCCTTTGTAACTTTTTTCTTTAACGAACGGCCGGCTGAAGAAGACGACGACAACGACGGTTTGACGAAATGTTAGCTTGAAGTTTTCTGAAGTTTACCCTCTAATTGCTTTTCGGGAAAAGTTGTATATTTGTTCGGGGGATTATTTTTTTTTTTATTTAAAAAAACAATTTAAATATGTACTTCGAACGCTGTAACAGTCCGTTACGCTGCAGTGCGCTGCAACGGCGAAAACGGAATAATTCGAACGATTTCCGACGGTGCAGTATAATCATTAAAGTGCAAACATCGTGTTTAACGAAGAATAAAAAAAAAAATAACGGTTCATAATAATGTTTAAAGGCCGTTACCGTATTGTAAAACTATATTACATTCGTATTTCTCAATCGATAAATCGTCGCGGATACCCGCGCCGTATACGATGTTACGCGTTGCGCTTTATTTAATAACGTCGAATATTAAATAAAAATAGGTAAACGAATAATATCATATAAATATATATAAATATATATACGTATACTATATTATAAGTACGCACACGCAATAAAAGGTCAAAGTAAAAATAATAATATTATCTGCGAAAACGCTTTTTTTCTCTTATTTTTTTGCGCGATGCAAGTGTCCGTTTCGTTTTATATTTTGAATTTATACAGTATCATATGCGCGTGTATACCTGTAAATGTATACACGCTTCTTGCGCGCGTGTACATTCGTGTGCGTGCCCTCTCCGCCCCGCCCGCTCTAATAGGAGGGTCAGTATTTTATTACACGTGACTACCCTTCGTGCATTATACTCTACGGTCGGGCGGCACCGTATACCGTATACCGGCCCTCGGCTGATTCGAGTAATAAACTCGATTTCCTCCGTTTCGGGGCCGAAATATACGGAATATTCATTTACATATAAACGCCCGATAGTGTACATGCCACCATACAGGTATATACGCTTTTGACAAAGGCGTCTAGTGTAAACGAACCTCGTCGACTCCGCGAGCCCGGAAAAGGGCCTGTCCTCGCCGTAAATTAAATATGAATATAAACACGATATGTGTTTATTACGCGTTGTTTTTTTTTTTTTTTTTTTTTGCTTTTTCGGTTTTATTCATCTTGTTTTCGCATAATAAATAATATGTTTGCAGAATGTAATTATCATCATACGCAATAATAACATATTCGTGTAGATTTTATAAAAACATTTGTATCCGAGAGTATATCGATATAGGTCGTCGTCATTTCGGTCATGTTGGTAGGTGTTTATATTTTCCGTAATGAAGTATGTTCGTTCGGTTTGGCCCCGAAACGAAACGGCCCTATAATAAAAAAAAAAAACGGGACAAAGGACCGGCCTTAACGTAGAGTTTGGAGCCACTGACTACTAAAATTATATGCGAGCACGTGACTACCACCGGCGTGTCCGATCTTTTCACAAACTATAACTATAGATAAGACCGGAAAGGGATGTCACCGAAGTTTAAACAAAAAATGCATTATCACCTTAAAATTAAAAATAATCAACCTTTTATTTTTTACCCGAATTTTCCCTCGATAACTAGAGTCTATTGCGTTGTATTGTCTACTTTTAGATAATTTTAGCGGTTCTATCCGGACCGAAGAAAATTATAAAATTTTCATTCAATTTCACCGTGTTGTCCGGGTTTTATTTTTTCAACTTTGCACGTACCCACGGACCTCCGATGAAGCCAGGGAGATGAAATATTGTTTATGCATAGTATAAGGATCAAGGATAATGTGCCTTTTGGGGGATTCGATATTCATCGCCCTCCCCGATCATTTCTGCGGTCGAATTTCATGTTTTTCATTGAAAACACCGGGTTTTAAATATTCACAGACTCGGAACGACAAGTCGACCGAGGGAAAATTCGACTCTAGTGAAGCAGCTCTGTTACGCACGGGGTTTTTTACTAGTCACGTAAACAATATTAATTTTAAAATAATACAACCGCGAATACAGTGGCAAATATGTCCAAATCAAATTGCGCGGGTCGTGCCCGTTCGTGATAGACCCGACCCGCCTAAGATAATACTTATTATAAATTCGAGGGGTTTTCAATTCCGAGTGTATCGTTAAAACCTGGTGGTTTTACCAAAATGAGGTGTTTTTCACATACAACACTTGTTTGCTGTTAAGAATTCTCCAATTTAATCATACGGTACCTTAAAAAAGATGCGGACCGTCCGGTTAATGGGACGCTTTATGGTTTTCGAATTGTCCAACCATTTTTCCAATATCGATATTTTCATAAACAGCATTACCAACGAAACGAATATACACTTCGCTAAAGTTTATTTTGAAAAATATCGTTTTTAAACCGTGATTGGCACAACATTAGTGTAATTTTTTTTTTATTTTCTAATGTTACGTTTGCCTACGCCACACTCGAATAAATATTTATAAAGTTTTACGTTTTCAATTCGCTTGACAATAAAATATATTATAATAAACTTGCCGTTTTTGTACATTTTCCGGATCGAAGCACTTTAAATGCGTATTTTGACGAAAACCTTTCGACCTGCAAGAGCACTTCTGTAATTGTTCAAGACCTAATTTTAGATTATGATACTGTGCACCTGCAGCAGCAACAGCAGTATATATATATATAGCAATTCCATTTGCTCGAAATCTACTTAAGTGCAGCGTTTCACGGGCATTAACCTTGAAAGTAATGGGTGAACCGGTGAACGCGTATTATTGTATGAACATATATATTATATTGAAGTCAACAACGAAACGAAATAACATGACGCGTAAGATATTGTACGTTGAAAATCCGATAGAATATTATTTACACCAGTATGTGCCTGCGTTTTAACGGAAATGTCACTATTTGATTACGCGAAGGTAAACATTACGTATAGGTGTACCTAGGTTAATTTTTCGCCATTTATTTTTCCGCGTAGAAACCGCCCATACGTTATTTTTATATCGCGGAAACCATTTCCCTAATAGAACGTTAATTTTATGTTAAATTTATTACCGTAGTCGTCTTATCTTGTTTTTGTTATTTTTTTTTCCGAGCGTAAAGCGGAAAATTTACATCACACAGTTTTACTAAGATAAGTATATTTTGGCGATGAGGCATTTGAATTTTTCGAGTTATTTCAATTCTCGTTTCGCAGGGCATTACTCGGACCGAACTCGTTCGACCGAACAGGAATGCTTGACAATTTAACACGAGGTTCGTTACAAAACGTCGACGAATATCGTCTGATCGTCGGCGTTTCATAACACGTACGCAAACCGGAACCTCAATCAGAAATGTTTTCCGTTAGCGATAGTTTATCGTTGCGTACAATTTTTATTTTTTTTATTTTATATACACTCGTGTTTAAATTTTTTTTTTTCTCACGGCGGCGGCGGTGGGCAGCCGCGGGACATAATAATTTATTGTTCCTTTTATACACGCGCGTTCTCTCGTGTGCGCAGCAGCTCCCCTCATCAACGCCAACACACGCGTAAACACTAACAAGTCTTGTACATAATATGCGTCCGGGGTTTTAGAAATCTATTGTAAAACGGATCAGGTACTAGAGGTCGTTTTGAAAGGGCATCATTCCGACGATTAATTCAATCACCTCGGGACGGACGGACCAGTTTAGAATATGTAATGAGCGCGTTTCTCCTGTCGCGGGAGTTCGCGGGCGGCGGCGGCGGCGGCGCGGGGATAGTCGGCGGGGCGAAGGGAATAACCCTGCAGCACAGGGCGCGCACGCGGTGTCCGTCCCGTTAATTGTGACCGGATTTATGGAGCTTAACGGATTACGAGGGTACTCGAACTGTATGGTATGCGTATAAATGCAGTAAAATACACACATATATATATATATATCTCGCGGGGCCCCAAAGGGGAAATGAAAAAAAATAAAAATAAAAATTCCTTTTCCCCGTTCGTGGTGGTTGACCACTGAATAATATAATGGCTTTATCCTTAATATACCTATATATATATGTATATGTATATATAGGTATTAGGTACCGTATAGCGGCCACTTAAACGGCACGAGGGTACCTAAATATTTACGTACATTGTACAGAGAATAAAAAGTTTTGACGTAGGTCGTATTTACCATCACTTTACGCAGGTACCGTTCCGATAGAATTCCCGGAAGTGTTTCGCCGTAGCGGTATGCGGAAATCGAAATCCGCGACGATATTGAAATCACTGATATTGTATCGGTTGGAAACAGGCGCGTTCTCCCACACCGCGAGGGAAGTGGCGACTTTCATTGGCGTTTGGCACAGTCAATGGTCCAGAGTAGATATAATAGATACAATCGATTTGACACAATTTTGTTTGGTTTGACAAACATAGGTGTTTTTTTTTTTTTTTTTTTTTTATACATGGTAATAAAAATTTTTACCAGAAATCTTGCCCCATATGTACGTGTGGCACGATTTCTGAAAGTAAATATTTCGTATTTGGTAGATCTTTAGTAGATCGTTTATTGGTTTGTCAAGCGGTTTTATAATATCTGGGAAAACCCGGACGTAAGAAAAACGAGACATTTACTAAAATAATGCTTTTTATTATTTTAAAATGTCTAAATTTGGGCAGAAAACTTATATTCGCCTATATGTACATGGCAATACTGTAAAAACATATGAGCTATATTTTAGCTATTTATATAGACGCTTAATTTTGTGAGTAATTTTTATTTAGTAGGTATACTCTGTGGATAAAATTGTTGAACAAAACAGAAATGCTTGAAAATTGAACAGATCTTACCTTATGGTGGAAACAAAAAAAAAAAAATAAATAATTTAATGAAGTATATTTTTTACAATAATTTTTATATCAAATTTTGATGAAAATGTTTTAATAAAAAATTATATGGAAGGTTACTGCAGGTCCATACAAATTGTTTCAATATGATATTTATTTACTGTAATATGACAAACATATTATTGAAAAATCAATACTATTAATCAAACTTACTCAGAATCGCTTTTCGTTAGTAATGATTAATTTTTGTTTACAAAAATGTAAATTGTTTACAAAGATGTTTTGTGTAAATTAGCTTTGGGTAGTGAACCACGAATAAGTTAAACATTTATCAATGAAACATTTTAATATGATCTGAAATTTTATTTTCTATACACATATTTGCCAACGGCTATTGTGCGGTCCTAACAGATTGAAAAATCGGATTCAGCAGAGAGAGAGAGAGAGAGAGGAAATTAGGTGCGTATAATTTTAATTTAAGCTTACATAATAGTATGCAATTCTCGTGTTAAACGCGTAAAATAGATTATAATATTTAAATTTTTATCCTGTGGTTTTCCGCGAAAACACGTGGGAAACGCTTTAATAAGTAAAAAATTAATAAGTGTAGACTGACGATTATAATAATTCACGAAAACTATGTACATGGTTTACATATTATACAGAAAAAACACATTTTTCGGCGTTGTACCAAACATGGGCGTAAACACGGAGCGGGGGAGGTTTGGGGGGACGGATCCCGGCATGACCTTATTAATAAAAAAAAAAAAAAATGTTTCTCTTTGATGGTTTATTTAAAATTAATAGTTTATAGTGTTTTTACCAACGAAAGAAAAGTTGATAATCTTTTAGCTGTTATTAATTTTTATAAAATCGTTTTATTTTATTTTTCAGTTCAATTGATCCGATAGCTAACGTCCTTAACAGTTTGATGGTCCAATTTGTTGTTTTATTTTTTCATTCGTATCACCAAGGTGTGAATAAACAAAAACGAATAAATAAACAATTATATGTTCGTACCGAAAACACCTTGAACCCCCTGTTAATTATCCCCTGAGGGGTTGGATTTTTAAAATTATTGACCATCATATCTTTTGATTGGGACCAAATCACACGCGTTGATCATTATCTTATCAAAATCGGTTGAGCAGTTTCAGCGTGCAAACTCACCGTGATTTTTATATATAAAATATATTATAATTCTTGCGTTTTCATTTTTTATTTATACAATTTAGAATTATTAATTATTGATATGAGTAATATCAAAAAATATTTTATGAATTTTAGACATTATATTGTATAGATTAACAAATTTTGTAGAAAAAATAAAATAATTTCTATTGTATTAAAATTGGGTCGTTTTTGAAGGGGTTCCATGGAGGGGGAACTATCCGGCTGGCTGCGATGAATATATCTCCCCCGCCCCTCACCAATGAAATTTCCTGTCCACGCCACTGGTACCGAGCCTCGTGTCCGTATATCGAGAACGTGCCGACGGACAATATTGTCATTGTGCAGCGAATGAAAATGTATGAAAAAAGGTGACGACGACAGTGCGAAATTATCTGCAGTCGCACACACGGCGATTACGTTTCTTCAAAACAAAACTTAACGCGTACCCATGTAAATGTACATTACGTACAGCTCGGCATGATGTATGCAAACTTTACTTTGGCGGCCGAAACGTCGATGGATAAAAAGACAGAGAGTGAGTGAGAGAGAGAGAGAGTGCGAGAGAGAGAGAGTGCGAGAGAGAGAGAGAGAGGAGGGGGGGAAAAAATGAAGTAACGAAAAATACGCACGCTGCAGATAAAAGAGCCGGCGAGGAAAACGGTAAATTTTCAACAGAGTTTACTTTTAATGCGTTTTTCCGGAACCCGTCGTCGTCGTCGTCGTCGTCGCCGTCCGCCGTTCTTCGCCGCGCCGTATTTAATGGCATTTGATGTGCTCTCGCATACACCAACTCCGCGTATTGGCCTAAATTGCTCGGAGAAAAACACCGTAACGTCTTTATATTATTATTATTTTATCTTATATATACACTGCCGCTGCAGCAGCCTGTTCGCGGGCCGTATTTATCCTTAACTTGCTTAATTCGATACCGTTAAATTATGGGCCATTTAACGTTTTTAGTAACACTATTATTATGGCTATCGCCCGTTAAAAGTAAACTATTTTTGCTTTCTTCGCGATAACGCACTGCGTACTACGCGCCGCTATAAGTGCGTATATAATGTATAGGTACATCGGGTATAATACGTATATAGCCTACCGTAGCGGGACGTCTCTAGGGGCGAGAGAGAAAAAAAAAACATTTAGTTTATTACAAGATACCGGGATACCTATAATAATAATAATAATAATAATAATAATACTGATTATAATCGCCGTAAACTCAATCTGCGTACAGATTATATAACGTACAATATTTATTTTTTTAGTATTTTTTTTTAATTTTAACAGCGTCCGTTAAAAATAATATGTCCGCTATCGTTTATGATGTTATAGTCGAAACGGTATATTATGTAAGTAACAGTGATACGCGGCGTATAATTATTATTTCGTCGTCAACAACATTGCAACACATAGTCTTGGACGGTGCTACACCGAAAAGCAATCGTATTGTACAGCAGGGCGCGCCGAGTTTAAAAAAAAAAAACGGTCGTTCGTTGTTTAAATATTAATAACTAAATTTACGAGACATGAAGGAAAAAACTAGAAAAAAAAAAAAAAAAGAGACCGACATACTTCGAACGTAGACGCAGCCACGGTTGTAGTTGGGCATTTGGGAATGTAGGAGGCTGACGGAAATTTAATTTATACCCGTGAGCAACGATAAACCATAGCTAACAGAATAAAGATTCTGAGCCGAGTTCAGTTGATAGTGTTGCTTTGTCAACAATACGTTTTATTCATATTATGGTAAAATGATTACAATAACGACGACAATGATTGTTTAAAAAATATTAAAATAATAAAAAATTAATAAAATTGGTTGCAAATGACAACCTTATTTTCAATCTTTTTAAACGTAAAAAACCAGATATTCCTTATTATCTCGAATATTAATAAGAATTTTAAAAAAATAACCTCTTTAACTTAAAGTATCATCCAGAGAACATTTTCTTTCAGAAAACTTGATAATCAAAGTAAAATTTCTGGCAGAAAAAGTATTTACATAAAAAAAAAATCTTTTTGGAACTAATACATTCTTCACCACACTCAGAATCTAATAAAAATACAAATTAAATTACAATAATTGATTGCAGTGCATTACAAACATATACTCTACACCTTGTAAATTAATTTATCGAATTTACCGGACGAAATATTAGTTTTTAAACATTTGTTTGTTGTTTTTTTTTTTTGTTTATCGGACAGCAAAATGTACGCAGGTAAGTATAGCCATGTATGCAGTAGTTTTCAGTAAAAATTAAAAATCGTATTTTTTACGCAACGATAAAACATTAAATGAGTATTTTAGTCGATTAGTGTATTATATAAAAATCAAATTGAATAAATCAAAATCTAACGAAGGGTGCGAGACCAAATGCGTACGAAGGGATTTTATAGGATTATTATTATATTATAAAGTAGGGACGGTCTGGAAAACTGCAGATTGGTCGGAGCGACGAATCGTCATCGCGTTATTCCGAAGTGTGTAATAATTTTAATTCCTGAGTTTTGCCAGTTATTATATACCGCGATAAAATTGATGTGGTGAATATTCGAACTGTGAATCGACCGTAACCGCCTGCACCACTCAAGTGGGTATTCAGTCTGTAAAACCGTATTTTTCACGGAGGGGATTATCTACGTTCGTCACAAAAAAAAAAAAAAAAAAAAATTGACAAAATAAATATACGAATGTTGAAGGGGAAAAGTTAGTGCCTACTGATTAAGTGTCACATGTACAAATTGCGTAGTGCAGTATTCGTCGCTATTAACATATACATACATTTTCACCACTTATTTCAAATGGTTGCGAAGCCACCGGCTTTATCAGAAGGGGTTCGTGATAAAATGTATATGTATACACATAAAAAAAAAAAAAAAAATCTTTTTCAATTCGAATCACTTTATACTCGTATTTATTTTATAACGTAATGTACGTTTACAGAATAATAATATTAATCAACGTATAATCATTGTTTAAAAATAACGATACGGTCGTATTATAGATTCGGAGCGTGACGAATAAACTATGGATTTTACACAGAAGTGATTATTTTCCACGTGTGAAAGATGCGGAATTATCACCCGCCCACCGGGCATTTTTATTTGAAACATTCGCCGACAATTCCAGCAGTTCATCACCTACGATATTTTTGTTATTGTTTTAATTTTTGTTTATTTCTGAAGAGTCACTCCGCTCAGAAACGCTTTTCGTTTGCAATAATATTCAATGAGTAATCACTATGCAAATCTTCCAAAACAATCGCTTATAACGGGGGCCTATCCGTGAGCCGTATTAACTTTTTTTTACCTTTTGCAAATAATAAATTACACAAATTTAAAGCGTTGCATCTGCGTAAAAAATATATAGAAACCGATTGGAGTCTACGATTATCGCTGGCCCGTTTTTTCGATCCGGTATAGTAGGGATATTGCATTAATAAAAAACAAAAAACAGTTTATTAATTCAGCGCTGCGCGATAAAAATAAATAATTGTTTTTCTTTTAGTTTGCAACTGTAAAAATATTAATATTGATATCTGAACCTTTTACAATATTGGATCGCGAAAAGTGTTTTTTATTTTTTTTTTTTTAACTTTTGATTGCTGCAGCGTTAAAAAGCGTTCTCGACTTAACCTTATCGAGACCTTATCGCTTAAACGTTAAATTATAATAATAATTTATTCTGACGATGACTGATTGTATTCCGTCTCTTTTGTTGTTCTTTATAAACGAATTTCAACGGCGAATCAGATAATTAAGAGAAGACGACCGACTTTTGAAACGGATTGACACGTATAATTTGCGTTGTTATCGAACTAAAAAAAAAAAAAATCAATTTTAAATTAAAACCTTACTGGATTGTTTTTGATTTTTAATTTTTTTACATCGTCTAAACGACACAAACCGAAAGTTAGATAAATCGGTTTTTTATTATTATTATTATTTTTTTTTTCATTTACTTTCGATCATTGAGACAGATCGTCATCGCCTTTATCGACATAATGTAAATACACTTTAGAGGTTTGCGTGTCCAGTGGTGTCGTATAATATATGTACAGATACATACTCGTGTATTATAGGTACACACGCGCGTCTTAACAAGGTAAATTTGTTTTCTTTCAAAAAAAAAGGTCAACGGTGTACCTTTTTGATATCGAATTCTTTGTGTGCCGGCCGGCCGGACGGCGACGGTTCAAAACGATATGATGACCCTACAAAAGACACTTCAGCCGACAGTCTTTTGGCCCGAGGATCGTTTTGTCGGGTCACACATACGCGTATTGATGTTAAACATTTAAACTATTGTGATGTCGGACAACGAGGTTTGTTCGACGGTCGTATATACGGTGTAAGATAAACGACCATACCTATTCGAGTGCGGTATACAGTACAGCGGAGTAAAAGACGCGCATTTTTTTTATTTTTTTTTTTTTTTATAAAATTGTTGAATGCAGTAGGACAACGGTTTAACTATAAAATTAAATAAACGACAACTTTAGTGTTAATCTACGTAACGTATAATATCGAACGTTTTACTGTTCTTTGTATAGGCTTTATCGCGGATATGTTATTGCCGAATTGGAAACAAAACTCAAAAATCAATTTACTACACAGGGAAACACGTAAAACAGCACGGAAAATATTTTGTAAAATCACGCGTTTACGTTTTTTTATAATCCGAGTGAGCTAAAATCGAAATTGACGTGTTACGAAAATCACATTTTCCAGAAAACGAAAAACCGAGGTTTTCCTAGAAAGTAAGAAAAAAAAATCCGAAATTAATTTTTCACGTTGGATTTAGGCTAATAAACTCAAAACTGCCGTCGAGAAAATTAAGATTTCCGTTTCATCGTGTGAACAATTTTTTTTTTCAAGGTTGAAATGTGGAACAGAGTGAGGTTTGACTCTATAATAAGGTACGGAACATGGAAATTTTGATAACGGTTACAAAATGGAACGTGCGAGTTTTCATGTTTCCGATCGTGCGTTTGTTACGCGGCTTAAATACGAGTAGAATTAACCATCGAATCTCGCTCGGAACTTGTTAGTACATACTGCGAAAACCACTATTTGTTGAACTGTTGAACGTGTATGAACTGTTATTGTTGCGCGGTTCGAAACGATTACATAATCGGATTCGCTTTAAAAAAAACCGTATCGTCTGTATAGAATAAAGTGTCGCTAACTCTTGTTAATATTTTCGGAAAAACGCGAGATTCCAGTCCATATTCAAATAAATAATACGAGACATAAGGTCGTTTTATTCTTTTTTTTTTTTTTTTTCGCGGGGGTGAGTGAAACCGTTATTCGTGTTTGCTGAGATAACTCGAGTGTAAACCGTACAAGTTGTATGATACAATACGAGTATATTTGCGTTTTTTTAACAATTCGCTGTTTATCTGAGTATAAGTATAATACCTATATCAGAAAATCGCTAGTACCTATAGGTGATCATTTATGGTTTTCGGTGTTTGTAAAAACACTCGCGCAGTCTGCATTCTACACAAACGTTAGTCTGTCCTTAGCGGTACTAGTAAAACGATCGAAATGCATTTTAAACACTACGCAAACAAAATATACGCGCTTATAATATTGCGAAACACAATTGTATATTTCAATGATATATTCACACGTTGATTTGATTACTGGAACCGCGATGTTATAAACGATTATTATTGTTCGAAAATAATAGAGATTTGAAACTTTGGTTAACATATTTCTAAACGTGTACTGCTAATACGCCGAGTAATAAGTTTCGATCTCTGTCAAAGGATTTAAAAAAGCAGCCATACACTACCTTGATCAGACCAGTTGTAACATCGGAGCAGAGGGTGGGGCAATCTGAAAAACCGACGAGAGCACACTCTTTGTTTCTAAAAGGAATATTCCAAGAAGAATGTTCGGACCTGTGAAGGACAGTGTAATTAATGGTCGGAGGACTAGGAAAAATGAATCACTATACCAAAAACCGAACACCGTTGAAGCAACCAGGAACGAGGAGAGGCTACAATGGGCAGGGCAGGCTTGGAGAAGCCGAAACCCGTTACTCCGGAGTAAAGGATAGAGCCCGACAGGAAAAAGACCCATTGGAAGACCGAGAATGAGATGGATATACGTAGTAAAGAAGGATGCAGAAGGTCTGGGAGGAGGAATAGATTGTAAAGCACGAGCAACTTATCGGGATGGATGGAAGACTGGTTGTGTGACGGATAGGTACTGGTGATCGCTATTCCAAAAAAAAAAAAAAAAAAAATTATACCTATCGTAACTTTGAAAATATTAATGTTGTAACCTGCCTACCTGCGGCACTGAGCTACACACCTCAGGAGTATAATAATGCTGTATATGGTATACTACCTACCTAATATTTCGACTAAAATTTACGACCACTCTATTATATTATTATTGTGTACACCTATATACCGACCTCGGTACGCGTAATATTAATAATAAATATGCGCGCGTGTGTGTGTGAAATGAATGGACTACGGTAATCTAACCCCAACAATTTAGGAAGATGGGAATGACAGTGAACTATTGTCAAAAATATCTATCCGCAAAAACCTCTATAAAAATAAAACTCAACAATATGAAAAATAGCCATATTATGTATATATATACATACAAAAAAAAAACCCGACTTTGAAAATAAAATAAAATACTAAAACCAAACAAAATATAACCGTCTAAAAACACAAAAAAGCCCGAAAGAAGTCGAAGAAAAATTCGACTTAAAAAAAAAAAAAAAAAATCCATTTACTACGGAGTCACGGAATGTACCGTAACACCTGCGTTACTCTATTACGACAATAACCAGCCCATCTCGAAAGTGTACTCGTTTCGAACGCAAACAAAAATCATCCTTATTGATGCGTATTTGACGGTGTTACGCGCGAAAACACAAAATTCATAACAAATCGAGAAGTTTCTCGGTATTTTGAAATCGGTTAACAATAATACTATACAGAATAACGTTGAAAACTACACTACGTCTTAAAAAAAAAATACTGAAACACAGGGGTTCGGTGAAAGCGTCGAGTTTTTTTTCACGGTTTTCTCGCGTTGTCGAAAAAAGTACGAGGAAAATCGAAAATGACCCCATCGACGCACCGAAACTAACACCTCACGTCGATGGTAGAATTTCACCACCGAAAACCGCGGCTCACGAATTCGACGATTGGAACACGATTTCTGGTCGAGAAGTTGTTTACGCAGTTAAACTACGAAATTCCCCGAAGCGTTCGAAATGCAAAATGACAAAAAAAAAAAAAATAAAAAAAATGAAAAACCGAGCTCTCTTAAGTATCGGCTAGACAGACGTCCCTTTCGGACAAGGACCCCAGTACTTTAATGGTTTAACAAAACACAAAAAAAAAACGTACTAAAAAAAGCCAAAATCTGATTTATTTACCATTATAGATTATTGTGTATACGGGCGTATGGCTGATGACAAGTATTGACAAGTGGATAATACCCATGTTATTTATTTCGCGTTTACCGAAAACTAACCAGTATTTTACTATAGTAATATACATTACGTATTATTGCGCCGACAATGATAACTTGTAACTTCACAATAACGAAATTATACATGAAAACCGATACAAAAATGAAAAAACAAAATGATTGTAGTCCGATTAGTTACTACGCCCGTTACTTGTTTTGCTATAAACATTTTACGATTCCGTATTTTGAACGGGTTAAATAATTGCATAAAAAAAAAACTATCCATTTTCTCAAACGCAAATCTTACGATATTTGTATCCGCGTCTAGAGGCTTTCTAATAAAAAAAAAAAAAAGAGGATCTGTATCTGTACGTCCGAGCGAGATTTCCGGTAGAATAGTTACCGGCCGGGAAAAACGTTATAATAACCCCGTCGCGAAACCGCGGTACGTCGTTTCTCGTCGCTCCAGATATGAAAAAAAAAAAAAAAAAATCCGTTATTTTAATAATTGGCCTTTTCGGTGGCGCACGGCGGCCAGCGGCTGCTACGCTATTGTTATTGTTATCTCCGTAACGGCAATACAATAACAACGACGACGCGATTCCGTACGCCCCGGGCCGGCAGACATCCGAATAATAACGCGCCCGGCGTCGCGGAGCGTACAGCGGCGAGCGCCCGACGCGCGGCCCCTCCCGTTTTTCTCCGTTACTCGCGTTATTTCCCCACCGGCCGGGGGGCGGGTTGGGTGGGGGGTTGAGGGGGACCGTCGTTTTCCCTTTCGGTTTCGCGGCAAACGCCGCCGCGTGATGTTTCCCGACGCGGCCGCCGCCGCCGCGCGGGTCAGCACGCGTACGCAGTGACCGCCGCGCGTCGCTTTATCGTTTCGCCGCGGACCCGAACGGCCCGCGCCGAGGACCGCGGCGTCGTAGCGCAACGTCCTCGCGAAGTCGTCCCGACAAACATTGTCGCGCGCGCGACGGATTTTCGCGTTTTCCCCGTGGTTTACACAATTGCTGTATTGCACGGTGTTCCCGTCACCGTTCTTCGTCTCTTACTTCTCTCGTGCACCGCGGTCGGACAACGGCGTACATTTTTCACGTCCCTCCAGACCCTGAGCTCCGCGGAGTACGCGTCGGTTGTCATTATTTGTTAAGCAAATGCGATTCTCTGGGCGGTACTTCCGAGAGGCGATTTCTCGGTGTTCTCATTGATATTCGAGTCGATGAGGAAAACCTGGTGCTTTAGGTCGGGAAAGATTGAACGATCGGTAATAAGGTTTTTATTCATTCTTGGTTATCATTAAGTTTTTATTATCGCAATCGTTTTCAAACGATTATTGTCGTCGCGGTCATTTTCGCAATCATTTTACCATAGTCCGACATATATATATATATATGTATATATTGCTGACAAACCAACGTTATCAACCGAACCCCGCTCAGAATCGTTTTTTCGTTGCTTACAGATATACATTGAACTCCCGTATGTATCCTAACTTCCCAGCTTCCCACCCGGAACAGTGGCTGCGGCCACGTGCGAAGTGTGTCCGTATTGTTTTCGTTTTTATTATTATTATTATTATTATCACCGTCGTAGGAACAATCGCGGATATCAGGGTCGAGCAAATAACGACCGACGTCCGTCATCGTTACACAATATTGTGTACCTCGAGTTTTGTCGGCCCGCGCGTAATAATAACTTTCCGTCTATCGGATCTTCGCTGAAAACACAAACGTCACTTTCGTCTGTAGAATAATATTGACGTCGTTCTGTTTTCATCGCGTACGGAATTACCGCGGTATTTCTGTTCGGAAAAGGTAAAAAAAAAAAAAAAAACCGGATAGAATCACGTTAAACGAAATAATAATAATGACATAAGTATTAAACTTATGAAAAAACAATTCGAAATTCGAAACATTTTCGAGACTACGACGGTTGGATTTACCGCGTTTTCTTTAACAATGTTATGATTCGTTAGGCGTTCTTCGGTTCGTTACTGTTTGAAAAGTCAAATTCAAATTGCGGTCTCGTGACGGACACAATATCCGATCATTATCGGCTTTTGAATTTGAGGTCGTCGATTAAAACATATTACGCGACTGTTACCTATAGTAATGCGACATAAATCCGGACAACCCGGAAATCCGAAATCGCCCGGATTTCGTACTTCAGTATACGAGAATTCCAATTTTGGATTTTAAACTGTACAATTATGACGGGTTTTTGAATTGTGCGCCCGAAAAGAATTCGAATTCGAAGTTACGAAATCCCGATTTTCAATAGGCTTTCGGATTTCGGATTCCGAAAAAAAACTTCGGAAAATCCGGATTTTTCCCCGCCCCTGTTTTCACTGCCGACCCATATATTATCATGTTATACCGTTCCGAAAGTGTTTCGTTATTGTTTTCAAAACGTTTTTATACGACGTTAACTTCGGCAGTAATAATATTTGTTCGTCTGATTGTTTGGGCAATCAAACGGAGTTTATTTACAAAATAATATTATACGCCGAGTTCGGCGGCGGCGTCGTCGTCGTCGATAAATGTTCAAACAACGTTTCGAAAACGAAATCGTACATTTTTATTGTCAATATAGCAATAATCTTTTCAACGTGTTTCCATTCCGTTGTTTGTGAAACGAAAACAAAAAGGGACGAATATTATTACCGAGTAGCTTTTTGCCTCTCACCCCCCTCCCCCCCCCTCCTCCTCACGCCGGACAAGCGTATACCGGACAAAGTTATCAAACCGACGAGCACTGTTTGAATTGATTTCCGTTCCGCGAAATGTACAGCGGCTGTTTGTATAACCCCGAAAAATACGCATTATTATGTATCGCAAAGCTACAGTATTACTCATTTCTGGTTTCGCCGCAGAATCTGCATAAAATATAAAAAAAAAAAATGATGAAATACGAGTTTTCTTTGAACTCGCCGGTCTGATAAACGTATTCGGGGATGCGATTCAAATTCGTAACCGATCTGACGGTACATGCCCGGGTACTCGCCAAAGTATAAGCTTTTTAAGTGCGCCAGCTATTCTCGAAATCGCAAATTTCCGGGGTTTCGGGATTCGGGAATGTTTTAAAAGTTCAGGCCGGAAACGTGTTCGAATGTGTCTAAATCGGGGGGCCGCGACGGTTCGATTGGACTCGCGACTAACCGGGCGCGCTGAATGCTCAAAGCAACGCTGTCAACTGAATCACGTTCAGAATGGTTTTTTTATTTTTCGTTAGCAATGGTCCGTCGTCGCTCGCACAGACACACCCGCGTTAAATGTCCACTCCGCTGTACTTTCCCGACATCTGAAAACGGTTTTCAACGTTCGTCACTATTGCGACGGATTTTTCGCATCGCCGCTCGGTATAGCCCTCGGTACAGGTGTTGCGGTCGACCGGGCGCCGGTCGCGTTGTCGTCGGCGCGCACGATTCTCGCTGTTTCGCGGAACGCGGCTGAAACAGTCGCGCGGCCCGTACGGTTCGCATCACGGGACGCGACCGACGGGGCTTGACGGCTCGCCGGCGCGCCCGGCGGCTGCGGTGGCGGCCCGGACCCTTTCGTCGTACCGGGCGGCGCGCTGTCACCGTCGCGGCCGCCGTCGGACGGGGCACGCACGCTCGCGTTCGTGTCCGATAAAACGCAACGCGGCCCGACGGCGGCCACCGACACGGGTAACCGCAGCCGCCGGTGCCGCGGCGCGCACGCAGGCACACGCGCCCGGGACGGCCGCCGCGCGGTCACCGTTTCTCCGACTAATGAACTGTTGGTTTTGCACTCGGCCCCGGGTCGCATCGCCGCGCCGCCCGACGCCCGTTAAATATATTCGCCCGCGCGGTTTGCGCGGCGGTATTAATTAAATCGTCCGGCCGCGCTCTTTGTCCGCCCCGCGTGTTTCCGTCTCTCTACCTTTCTCTAGCGCTGTCTCTCTGCCTCTTTTCCTACCGCTCTCTCTCTCCCTCACTCCCTCTCTTCATCTATCTCTGCTTCTCGCCGTCTCCGTACACGCGTCACCCGCGATAAACACCCGGCCCGCGCGTATACGATAATTCGACGTCGACGGCTGGGCCCGTTCCCCGAAACGAACAATCCCCGATATTTTACCCGGGTCCCGCGGCCGTCCCCGGCCGTCGATCGGGGGCAGGGTGTCGCGCTCAGGGGCGATGCTAGAGGTGGCGAGATGTGAAACGGGTACGCCCGGCAGCGGGTCGAGCCTGATCCGAGGAAAACAGACAGGGCAAAAACGAAAAACGGAAATCGCCGAAACAAAATAAACACCGTCGTAGAACCTGCAACGCGTTTCTCGCTGCGCTCAGAATCTTAAACACAACGACGGTGTTTTATCGCTTTGAGTGCAGAGAAAACGAAATAATATACAAATCCACGATAGTTTGTTAGTGTCAATCGAATAACGTTTTATAAAAACAGTGTACGCTAACTAATGCGCGCAGAATCAATTCGTTCTTTAGAAACGGAATATCGCGAAGACAAACTCATCGTAAAGAAAACGACGGTTTTCGGATTTTAAAAAAATAGTAGCGTTGGCCAGCTAAAAATTTTAAAACGATAATTTCGGCCACCAACGGCGGTGCGTATCGCTCGCCCCCGTTTCGATGCGGATCGCAAACTCCCGCAATTTCCGACGTCAAAGCCGATCGAATCGATTTCATTTGTGTTGCATTATCTCTCGTTGATCGCGTAGGTGCGCGCCGACCGAGATCGGGTGTTCCGAATAGACTGGATTGAAAAACTACCGCAGACTACGCGCGCAGAACGGTCGAACGTATCGTGAAAAAGTCCCCGGCCCTACGCCCGGTCCGTTCGGTTTCCGTTCCCGGCCTTCCGTTTAGGGCACCCGACGCAGTAGCGAATTCCGGTCGTAACCACCAAACAAACGTCCAATATTACCTCTCGCCGTATCGTACGTCCACGACGGAGCGGCGTCCGTTCGTCTGCGGCTCTCTCTCCCTCTCTCCGCGCGCGCATGACCGGCCGCCTTATTGTTGTAAACTATTGCGAATCACCGCGTTCCGGACGATGTGTGGCGGCCGTAGATAAGAACAGATAGCCCACGGACCGCATACTAACCAAACGCATACGGCTCCGGCACGGCGAAGAGGGACGCGCCGCGGTTTTCTCTCCGGCCCAGAGCGTTACGGGATCACGCGTTCGGAATGGTTTATAATATTTTTTTCGAACCTAGGCGCGAACCGCGAAATACGGCGCGCGATCGGTCGCTCGCCGACGAACGGCAATGGCGACGGTAACGTCGTCAACGGGGCCTTCTGTGCAGAACTCGACGGCAGCTGGATATGACGCCGAAAGGTCGTACGCGATATAGCGGCCTAAAGAATGATAAGAAGTTGCGAGCCGCGAGATGATTCGTTTCAATAGGCGATATAAAACAAAAACTCGACATTATGACGCGAAACGCCGAGTCTCCTTTGAATTGGTCTGAAACGTTAGCGGTTGATAGCGAACCGAGACGCCGTCTTAATTCGCACGTAACATCCTCGAAATGCCCATAACCGTCGGAGAGATCCGACCTAGGTCGGATCGCAAAAAATAAAATGCAGTGTTGGACGCACAAAACTTATAATCCAGTGACAGCACGACGGACGAACGAAAAATATCGGAGCATAAAATACTATCCAGAACAATAATAATGAAATGAAACGTAAAAGAGAAATGAATTAACTGCAATGAGATTTATGAAAAAAAAAAAAAAAATCAAATCGAAATCAACGTCGACAGAGTCACCATTAAGTAATAGATTATTATTAACAGAGCGTGTATAGGGTAGTAATAGTACGCGTAATCGAGGGGGAAGAATGAGTTATAACATAAATAGTATACCGTAGTATTATCGACATTAACTTTAAAGTTTGTTAAGCTTAATAAATAAGAATCGTCCATTTTGTTATTTAATAAGTCTTTTTTTTTTTTTTTTTTTAATAATAATATCATTAGAATCTTTCTCGCAGCACTTTAAAGAATCGACTGATATTATTATCGTGATCGGAATGAGACGTTCTCGCCGTGTTGAATTTATAACCAACAGAGCGAAACTGTTCGTTTCGAACCGCTTCACTGATGCGATCGGCGATACCGCGGTAGCATCGGAGTGCCGAATATTTATGGCACGTTATTCTGACCGAGACCGGCCGACGGAAATGAAAAGACACCGTTTTAACGGCGAAAGAATCGTTAAGAGGAGAACGATCACCCGTAATGAGATTGAACACCGATGACGTCCGAGGGCGGGACGATATACAGTTTTAGTGTCGAAAACAGTACCGAGGTGTTTCACTAGATTTTTACGACGCGAGGACAGTGTCGCGTCAAAATCGTAATTGAAAATCGAGTTACCGAGACACTCGGAAATAAATGATTTGTCTGACGTTCGTTGTAGTGTTCGGCGGTGTCCGTTATGCCGCGCACCGAATCGTAAAAACAATCTGACGCGCGACTGTGAAAGCAATACCCAATAACGGACAGCGTTATCGTTGATCGATCGGCGGCGGGCGGGTCGAGAGCGGGTCGACTCTTTTCGGCGAACCGAACGGACCGATTCGGTCCGGTGTGGTCGAGTGACCGGACGGCCCGGCCGCGTCAGTTTTAACTGACCGGTGTGCCCGCCTGTCGGCTAGCTAATTGCACGGCCGCAACGCGCACGCCGTAGCCGTTAAACTCGGTCGCGTCGTAAACGACAGGCGGACGTCGCGGCGTTACGGCGGCGTCGAATCGGTACGGCGGCAGCTCGCGCGTGCGCGCCGCGCTATCGAAACGCGCCGCGTCCGCGGACCCGACGGTTTGCGACGACCAGAACGCCGTTCGATTTAACGGACCGGGTGCCCCCCCCCGCCGGAGCTTCGCGTTTTTCCCGCGGCCGCCGCGCGCAGTTCGGGCCGGACGGCGTCCGTTCTCGGGCCGGCCCCGGACGCGTCGGTCGGGAACGGACGTCCGCGGCGGCACGCCGGCCGCGCCTCCTGCGTCGCGTCGCCGTCGCGTTTTCGCCGCCGGTCTTGAGCGACAACGCCGCGTCCGTTCTGCGGGATTCCCGACGCGCGGGTCCGCGTTCCGGGCGACCGGAGTCGGCGTCGCTACGCTCCGAAAAACCCCCTGCCCCCGCGAACGGTCCGGAAATCCCGAAATCCGAACGTTCGCGAAATTTCCCCGGGAAAACGAGGCCGGGCGCGCGCGGCGCATCGCCCCGTATGCGCGCGTCGTTATTATTATTATTAGTATACGGACGGTAATATAATATTCCGCGGGACGTTTAACACGATTATACACGCGGATCTTATCGCGTGTATAATGTTATACGCGTACGAATAGAGGCGTGCGCGGGGCGCGCGGCCCGGGGGAATCGAGGAAATTCGCCGTGAAGCGCGCGCCGCAGTACAACAGGTCGCGTCTGCGGAGACGCGGACTTTTAATGGAGTTTGCGGCCGTACGCGCCCGGGCCGTAGCGATCGCGAGTTTATCGGGTCGGCTCGGCGCAACAACAATAACAATACGCGGGTACGGGAGGGCGGGGAAACGGCGCACGAACAAACAGAAAAAAATAAAAATAAAAAAATAACAATAAGCAATAATAATAATAATAATAAAAAAAATGTTTACGGTATTCGAGCCGTTATAACAGATAACGCCGCGGCGAATCGAGCTTTCGCGAAACACTCCGAGAAACCTCTCCACAAATAACAAACATCCGAGTACCTATAATAATTTCCAGAAAGAAATCCGTAACGGATTACACGTTTGGAGATTTTACCGCAATGCGATGGTGTTTCGTGAACAGGGCGTGTATCGCACCAGGAACAAAAAAAAAAAACAAAAAAAAATCGAAATTTCATAGGCCTTTTAACTAAAACACCGTCGATATCGTCGCGAAACCTGGACAATAGGAACGCGCAAGCGAGATGGACCGTGGGCAATGCAAATGCGGTCGCGGGGGAAAATAGAACGTAGTCTCGTGACTAACGAACCGTTACGAAAAGAAAAACAGTAACCAATCGGACGTCTGCCGGGACGCGACGAATCACGGTTTTCGGAAAATCGATAAGAGGCCGGTAAAAAGTCAATGTCTCAATGTCGCCACCCCGTGCGGGAAAACGTTTTGAACGGTTGTACGGCTTGCGCGTAACGGCCGTAACCGACCACCACTCACGAAGTATCGCGTAACGGTACCGTACATATTTTAGCATTTTCGTGTTTTCCCGTAACCGTGTTTTCGCGATGACCGACAAGTACCCAAGTCCCGTGCGGCTGTACCGTCAACGAGTTACACAGCACGGCGTTAAAACAATGAAAAACACCTTCGCCTGTAACGGCGCCCGTCGCTTTTGCTCGTCACCTATCCGACGCGGTTTTGTTCAGTTTAAAATTGTCCGGGCGGGGTGACCGCCCCGGGTCCTCTGCGGCACACGTACGACCGCGCGATTCGAAACCGATTTGTGATCCGTGCGTCGTTGGCGAAACCGCATTTTTAATTCGATTTTCGTTTGCCACAACGCCGGCGTTCGTGCAAACCGGATGTCGGCATCAGTACGATCGCTTATCGTTTTTTTTTTTTTTTCCGAAAACTGCGTACCACCTATATACCCTTTTTCGATTTACAATATTTTACTCGTTGAACGTTCGCGCGAGTTTGAAAATAAATATTCCGCGACGTTTCGCGGAAAGTATTCATGCGAATCGGTATAATATGTCGCGTTCGCCCGAGAGAAAATAATAACAATAAAAAAACGAAAACAAAAAAAATATCCGTTTTGCCGGTGAAAAAAAAAAAAAAAAAAAACACGTACGGATCCGATTTCTCGTTATTGTTTTATTCGGTTTCCGCGAACCGGGGACCGAGAAATATTTCGTGTCTGTTACGATACGATTTCGATCGGATCGGGTGTATTATAGCCAAGATATTAATAACGTTTCCGATAGACAAATATTATTAGCTCGTATTAGCGCTATTGATGTTCCGCGCAACTGCGATTTCGATTTTCGATATTCCCCGTACAGTGCAGAGTGTTCTGATTGTAAACATAAGCGCCGACGGGGACACGGATTAAAACATCTCGATAAATAAATAGAAAAAAAAAAAAATACGTAATGATTAGACGCCGGCTGGATCGGGGGTCGGGGACCTTTTCGCGTAAACGAGTCATTATTTTAAACAAAAAAAAAAAATGGTTTTAGATAAAAAAAAAAAAAAAAAAAAAAAACGAGCTAACATAATGAAATATTACCGAGCAATTTCATTGGGAATCGGTTGGCGCAAGAGCCGCAAATCGCACGTTGAGGGGCACCAGGTTCCCGACCCCGGGCCCGTAGATAAGCACGAACGTTTATCTAGATCGGAAAAAAAAACAAACGGCAACGTTATTCGGCGTCACCTGTTTTTATTACATTGATATTTTTTAAACTATCATTGTTATCACGAAAACGCACGTTACACACTGATATGACATAAGTGTCGTCACCATCAACTGAATTCGGCTCAGAATCGTTTTTTCGTTAGCGACGGCCTATCGTTTGCGCTCACAGATATATATATATATATATATATATTAAATTCCCCTGTGTATCCCACCCTTGCAAACTTCTCACCCGCAACAGTGGCGGCTGCGTTCACGTGCGAAATTGACGGTATTTTTCCCGTGCGTACGCAATACCCGAGAACCGCGCTCCGCGGTCTTATCGGGCTCGTAACGGGAGTCTGCGGCCCTCCCCCCCCCACCGTACACGACGCCCCTGAATCGCGCACGAGGCCGCGTACCGTCGCTGTAGGAGCACGTTTTTCCCGTTTCGCCCCGGTGCGGGATTCCGCGTGCTCGCCCGCTTTTCCCGGTGCGTTCCGGGCCCGTCGACGAACGTCACCGAAAACGGCCGTGTCGTCGCGCGCGCGGTGAACGGCGAGCGGGCGTCGCGCGGGCTGAACGCGTCGTGCCGGCGCGCGCGCGGGGATTTTCGGCCGGAGCGGTTTCCCGGCCGGGGAGGCGAGGGCATCCCGCGAACGCCTCGGTTCGCGCGCGTGTTATTGTTTTATTAAAACCGTTCGAGAAACCGTTTGGCAGAACGCCACCGCGGGCCGCGACGACGGCGACGCCGTCGCGTCCCGGGATCGATACAGTGTGAATTTACACGCGCCAATTCCCGGCGGCGGCGGCGGTAAGAGACGCGGCGGGAAAAACGGACGGCTCCGGCCGTTGTCGAGCGACGCGCGCGGCCACGCCGTATTTTCGGCCGGACGCGGCAAACGCGGCGGGCGGTTCGCGTATAGACGAGAACGCAAGGCGATTCGCGTTACGTTCCGATGGCCGACACCGAACGCGGAAATCAAACAAAACGCGGGCCATTCGGTATTCGGGCGAAAAACGGCGTTTCGCAGCCCGGCGGTTTCGAACGTTGCGCGTCGCGGTACACGTTACCGATGGGGTCGCGGTCTGTACTGTACAGTAAACGCGCTAGTGTAGCGGGTACACGCTAACGCGGTACATTCGTTTACTTGGGATTTGAGATTCTGGGTGGCGCGAAGAAGCGCACGGTCTTACAATGATGTCTATTAGTTTTTCTTTATCTGCGCGCGACTTTTCTTCCGGAAATTTCTTAAGTGGATTTGAAGTGTGTTTTACGATCTTTTCTAAGCGTAGCGCCTTTCCCGAAAACGTATCGGCGCGTGGAGGCGATTTTTCGATTTTTCTCATCAAATGTGAAAAACCGTAAAAAAAGAAAATATATAGAGCCCGCTCAATTGTTTTACTATAATACGGCATGTATTTTGTTCGCCAAACATCACTATCAACTGAACCCCGCTCGAAATCGTTTTTTCGTTAGCAATTGTTTATCGTTGTTTTCGGGTGTATATTAAATTGCCTATAGCAATGGCTGCGCCCGTCTCCATTATCCCAGGACAATTTTTTTTTTATCATTATCGTCACTCGTAAAGGAGCCGATAATTTGGTTTTCGAAATCCGGAGAGCCGTGAGCCCAAAATGGTTGAAAACCGTTGGTATAGTCACATTCAAAAACCTGCAAATTACCGAACTGTTTACTTCGGGTTGCTCAGTGATTTGTTTCTATTTTGCAAACCTATTCTTGCCGGTCGCCGTACTGTGTTGCACAATCTCGCCGTGTTATGTCAAAGTTTACTATGGTTAGTGGTATACAACAAGATTATTTATTTAACAGAAGCGTTGGGGTTCGTTCAACAGAGAAATATCGGTTAGTCGACCGAAAATTATTCGTATTCATTACACAACATAACAACATAACGTTGAATTATCCCGTATCGTAATTACTGGGCAAGTGAGACGGAAACTTTGCGAATTCTACTGGACAAAAAACGTTTGATGACATCGAATATTGTTTAGCTAGAAAGACCAGAGGTCGCGCGCACTCGTTTTTCTTCCCGCTCGGGGATAAATGCTTTTGTTCGGTCGGTAGACAATTCACCTACCCCGAAATATGACGGGATTTCAGACGAGCTACGATATTTGATTTGGACAATAATTAAACGGGCGATTTTCGTTTCCTTCTCGGAGCTATGGGGAGGCGAGAGGGGTGGTAAACGTTAGGCCGATCAGAATCGTTTTTTTTTTTGTTTTAGACGATCATAACTGTCGCGCAACACGCGAGAGTTCTAAAATGTACACGATTACTACGTTCGGTTTATTGAGTCGTACAACGAGAAAAACGCCTATAAAAGAATCCGAAGTTTCAATGTCAATCCCGATTTCGAATAAAATTTTTTCGGATTTCGTATTCCGAAAATCCGGATTATCGCGCGAACTCCGGCCAATCCGGATCTATAAAATCGGGCGAATACGCCTACGTATCGTTCGACTTGCTATTCGTCGCGTCCACGACAGCGCGGTCCGCAGTACGTCGGGGTTTTTTTTAATGAAAAAATAAAAAAAAAAAAAAAAACATTAATAATTCATCGACCCCGTTTTCGTTTCGGCGCGGTATACTTTACGGGGTACGGTTACCGAGGGTCGGGACCAACGCTAAAATATAAACATATACATTCTGTACATAGCGTATACAGAATAATCAAAGTGCGTATTTGTTTTAAAATTATATTATTGTTTACGAAGTATATAATATAATACAAGAGCGTTCAACCCGAACGTGCGGTTTAAGGGATTTTCATTTCGCCACACACATACACGAACCGTGTATCGCGCACGCAGTGTAATATATATTGTTTCGAAAACCATTTACCCCGAGCGAGTATTTAGAGTCGCAGGTTACCCCGCAATCGATACGAAACGTTACAAAGACTTATTTGTGTCGGCGAAATATTTGTGCATAATGTTATGTGGTGTAAACGACGACGACGGCACGCGTGTGTACGTATATAATGCGCACAATTGATTCGGAAGTATTAAAATATCTATAAGGAATACGAATAACAATAATAATAATAATAATAATAATATCGTCTTTTCTCCGTACGGAATAATAAGACGATTCGTCCCCTCTTCCCGCCACCCTCCCCGAAGCGAGACCGCCGAGAGAGGGCGTTTCGCGAATTCGACGAAAACGGATTTGAAATCTCGGAATATATTTTACCGGGGACGACAATTTTTTTCCCGGGTTTTTTTTTAGGGTACTTCGGGTACTTCGGGGAGGTCATTTTTCAATTGTCCCAATAGTTCTCCCGGTAAATGTGAGAAACCGGGAGAGAACACGGGAATACCGAGGGAAAATGTTGGGAAAACGAGAAAATCGGTACAGTATCAAACAAATACTATTAAAGAAAATATAAAAATTATTTTACCATAATACGACATGTATGGCGTACGTAGGTAACTAATTTAGTCAATTTATATTTTGTTTGACAACGTTGTATTATATTGTCCAAATAACACGTGTTATTAAATGTTGTACCGACGATATAGGTATACTAAAGGGCAATTTCCCGTGTAATTAAAAACAAATAAATATATATATTGTTGACAAAGCGTCAATTGTCAACTGAACTCCGCTCGAAATCGTTTTTTCGTTAGCAACGGTTTATCGTTGCTTACAAGTCGCAGATATACATTGAATTCCCTCCCGTATCCGTTCTCCCCAACTTCCCGTCTACTACAGTGGCTGCACTCCCGTCCCCATTATCCTAGAACAGCTTTTTCGTATTGTATCTGCAACAACACGACGTTTCCGATTATTGAGAAGTCACAGTAACGGTTGTTTTTGGTTTTAAATATATTCTAGCGGAACACCGCCACATTTTGATTCCGGGTAGCAAAAAAAAAAAAAAAAAAAAAAAAAAAAACAATCGGTATCCCTAAACGGAAATATGCAAAACGTNGCCATAAATTATGGAAATGACGGCAGTTATCAATTTTCAGAATATTATTGAAATATGATTTATCACAAAGCACGAATACGTCAATGTTTAAAAATGCGGCAGTGTCGTTTTCGTTGGAGCGAACGAAAAAACGAAAAATTCAATATACTGACGCAACACCGTGACGCCGAGATCGATAATATTGAACGTTTTGGCGGTCCGCCGTTTTGGCGAACGTGTTTGCGATCGTAATGATATCGATACGTCAAAAGTGATAAAATACTGGCTTGTAGCGGCGGTGTTCCAAAGGCGCGGCATGATATTAAAATAATTTGGTGAATTTCGTGTAAAATCCGGTACACACATAGTAATAATATTACAATAGAGCAACGGTTACGTGATTAATTAGCTCTGTAAGGCGTACAATTGTCTAAACCAGTTTTGTAGCCATTGGACGTTTTAATACACAAAAGACCTAAAAAAGAGATTTACGAGTATAGTATAGCCTCTGCCGCAGGTCTAAACCGAAAATACATTTTAATACTAAATGCTTCGGGTTACTGTAGAAAATGTGTAGGTAGATGTAATTAATCGATGCGGTTTTCTGACTCCTTGGAGAAAGTGGAAAGTGTGAAGTCTCCTCTCCCGCCGCGAGCTGCACCTAATTAAATGTAAAATTAAAACAGTCCCCTCCCTCCTTTTATAAAAATTCTGGTAACGCGGGTGTTACATCATTTCATATTAAACTTTGTGTAATTGAATTCGTAATAATCTTGACAAAACTGTCGAAAAGTTTTCGGTGATCGATTATACGAGCATAATAACAATACGAGATAGCGAGTGACAAATATATTAATAATATCGTTGTTTCGTTAGTATTTTTTTAGGTTCATTTTTTTTTTTTTAAATTTTGATTTTCCCTCCGTTAGTTGACATTCCGTTTTCCATTTTTAGATTCCGCGCGAAGCGAGTGATGTATCGGTTATACTCCTACATGACACGATTTTTTATGTTTCTATAAACAACTTTTCTATCGGAAATCGTGCTCCAATCGGAAACCGTATAAGAACTTTCTTATAGCGTTTTTGATCTAAATAAAAGTAAATTTTTTTTTTTATTGTTCTCGTGGTTTTCTTAACACACGGAAAGTACCGGCAATTCGTTTGTGTACGGTTTTGTTGATTTCCTTTTTCTTGTCTGTGACAAAGAGTGAAATACGACTACTAATAATACTCGGCATAGAATCGTTTTTCATTAGAAATGGATGCGTACATATGTAAATTAAATTACTCTTTACATCTATCATACTTCACATACATCACATCACCCATCTAACTTTCCGTCTAAAACAGTGGCACACTTATTAAAAGTATCAGCATTATTTATTTATTTTCTTTTTATGTAGAAACGGAAAATAACCTGCAATAAGCTTTTGAGACTTAATCTCTTTCAAAAAAAAAAAAAAAATAAAAAAATAAATGTATATATCTGTTGCTTTTATATCCACGAACTCTATTCGTATACATGATAATATAATATAATATAGTAGGTAAGTAGATAGCAAGAGAAATTGCAGGGATCATTCGCGAACGTGACAAAATCAAATCTCGAAAAAAATGGTTGAGGATATATATGTGGGAGAGTAGGAGAGCGTATACGGGAAGAGTAATCCGACTGAGGGGACTTTGTCAATCGTATACCCGTCTCGCGATTATGATGCCGACTGGTTATGATATTTCACACCTCGAGGGGTCGAGAAACCCCTTTTTCTAAATAGGACTCTGCGCAGACAGATGAAAAATGCGCTGCCGCGGTTTATCGGCTCTATAATCAGCTTAGGTTCTCCTTTTTTTTTCAATACTAATTTTAGGATTTAGTACGGATATATATATATATATATGTATTATTTTTTCCGTCGAGGGGAACGGCGAAATTACGCGATGGGGAAACTCTCTAGTATACTCGTATATGCTGCTCTATCCCGCAGAGTTTTTGCATTGCATTATCGTAAAAAAAATGCATGAAATAAAAAATAGAATAATATTGTATAGGGGGTGCGAAAATTTCACGAGGAGAAAAAGCCCTACGATTTTTTTCCCGGCTAAGGTGCCGGCCGGAACATAAAATCTCTACGGGGGGAGGGAAATTTATCGGAAGTCATAAAATTCTCCTTTATATATAAATATATATATATATATACTATACTCGTATATGTAAAAATAAGAATAAAAAGAACGTCTAAGGAAAATTGCACTGTACGATCCATAACATATATATATTTTTTTTTTTATAACTTTTTCGGCCGTTGCCGAAAATAAAGTGCCTATCAAAATGTGCAGCAGCCAAAACAAGCGATTTATTACTTACAGATGACTTTTACCTTTTTTTTTTTCTCTCTTTCTTTTTTCTAAATTACAACAACTTTTTTTTTTTTGCCAATACCTATTTGATCGTAAAAAAACGTCTCGTCGGTTCACGGTTTCACCGTTACAGTGGCCTTTATTTACTCGCGGTATTTGTGCGCAATAAAGAACGTTTATTAAGCTACGATATTGACCCGCAGATTGCGATCGACGTACCTACGGCGAAACAATCTAAACAAACTCTTTTCGCTATTATTGATGCACGTTTTCGTCTTGACCGGCGATAATTTATAGTTTTGCGATTACAATAATAATATGTGCATAACGTTGAATATTTATCACGGGAAGTTTCAAACTGTAATTTCAATTGAAATTTGTCATTTTACACGTACACTTTCATACTGTAATTGTGTTGTTATTTTGCTGCAACGTCCTGATTGATTAAGATATATGTCCACCCCCCGACCTTTTTATAGAATCTATTTTTTGTGCAGCTGCATATTCAATGCGTTTTAATTTCTCGACGTTTTAAAAAATCAAAAATATTCCTAATTAATAGAAATGTGTAAAAAAAATCTGAATTTAAATAATTTCCTCGTTTAAAACACGACCTGTTCAATTACTGTGTTACGCATTGTTGATTTCAATGATAATTTTAGAGCATATTGCAGAGTTATAAATTACTTACGAAAATATTAGATAAATTCATATGTACTTGGTATTTTTATTATTTTTTTTTAAATTTCAAACAATTTCCAAATAATTTAATATCTCCCACCTTGGCGAAATCTTAATTACGCCACTGTTTTGCTGTGCCACTGTGCGAGTTTGCAGTTACACGGTGTTTTATGCGATTTAAATTATTGACAAAAATAATATAGAATTGTTTAATGGACAAATGGATTTGGCGAGTAAGGCGAAGCTCTTAACATAGTAAGTAGGTCTGGGACTTTGCGGATTTGCATAATATTTGTTTCGAGTGTTTGGACAGAGTGTTTCGGGTCGGATCTATAAAATTATTCATTTCTGTTGTTACACCACTGCTCCGCAGTAGAACGTATTTGACTTTAAAGTTTTCACTTAGCGTCTTCCTGCGCTGCAATCTAAACGATTTAGAGATTATCTTACATTATAATAAGACGCGCGTATCAAAGGAACTGCTGCAAATATTTGTCTTGGAATTCAACATTATTTAATGTCGTTGATTATGTTATCGTTGTTATTATTATTTGAATTTTTTTTTTTTTTTTAAAACGCATATACACCTTTATATTATTGAGATCGTCGAATCGTAAATAATATAATTTAGTACAATAACTATTTACTTCGGAATACTAACGCCATTTTTGTCAATTTGTTACAGTATTATTTTTAAGTTTCGTTTTAGTTATACTTGTCGAATGAGCTTATACATCAGAAATTACCATATTGTTTTTTTTATACTTAGGTACGTGTACCCGAGTATTTTATTATATAATAATAATAGTCCAAAGTTTACGATAACGAAAATAGTTTTTTAATATATTTTTAACACATTTTAAAACTTTAATCGTATTAAAACTTTAAAAATATTATAATAACGGCGTGTTTCCGAGAAAAAAAATATAAATACATTTATTTGTATATTTGGGGTTTTTTTTTTTTTTTTGATCTCGATTTTAATCATTTTTTCTTTCTTTTTGAAGAATTAGCATACCATACGAAACTTCGTAACAGTATGCAGCACTCATCGAATCCTTTTACTCTCACGGCGAAATATTAATTTATAATTTTCACTGCAGCTAGAACAACAGTTGCAGTAAAGCGATTTATCTGTTCAAAAAACTGCATACATGGTGACTCATTAGGTGTGTTCACGCTATTTTTTAGAGGTGAATTATGCATACATGTAAATTCTGATTTTAGAAATTTTTAAATATATGATTGAAAACGATATTTTTATGTACTTAGATTTTGTTTAAACATTCAAGGAGTATCCTGTCGGCTGTTAGTGATACTCAAGCGAGTTACCGGAAATCAAAAATTTAACACCAAAATGTATTTTAATTATTACTCTATAATATATTTAAGGAATTTTTTTTCTAGGTTCTTATTTGAAAAACTAAAGTTGTTACCACTAACAGGATACTTTTTCCTAATTATTTTTAAAAATATATCGTCTTTAATACTATACTGAAAAATTCCAAAAATTAGAATTTGAATGCATACATATATATGTATCCTAAAAAATTGGGGGGAACATGCTTAATGAATTACCTTGTGTATGTTAATAAGGTAGTAACACACATTAATCGTTTTTTTGAATATTGTACTTATTCGAAAACGGTAATATATTTACTAGAGAAGCGGTTTTTTTTGTTTTTTTTTTTTTTATCGAATTCAAACTATTCGATTATTCGGGACACTTGGGATAAAGTACAGTTATTGTTATTCCGTATTGACACAGTTGACACGCATAGATGTTTCAAATCACTATAAGAGCTTTCGAACGATCTTTGAAATTATCAATCGTTATCACAGCATGATTAGTTATGGCACGATATTGGAAATGTTTGTTTTAGAACGGTATCTAATTAATTGCTATCGGATATTAAATCTATAGTGGTTTGGTGTATGGTATACATATAGATAGTACACGAACTGTAATATAGCGTTTACTGCAATGTACAGAGTGATTTTTTTTTCTATCACGATCCGGCGGCTCTCTGCGAAGATTTTCAGTAAAATCTGGTTAGGATTTTCCAGACAACGTATTTGAATTTCGAATGACATTAAAATATTAATTGATAATATCGTTTGGACGAAATACCGTCGTATTGATAACAGTAACCGATCAGAAATGGCGACACCGGCGGCCACCCCCTGATTACAGGCTCTCTAGATTCTATACCGTATCGTAATAACGGTCGAGCGATAGAACACGAACACCGGTTTTATTCGAAACCCCCGCGGTCTTTTATAGACATTAGCCGGACGACTGCGAACGAAAAAAAATTCGAGTAAATACTTGTACGATACGGTATCGCCCATTCCCGATTGCGCGTATAAATATCGTTTAATATCGGTTCGCCTCGCGCGTTTTATCGCTATGCACGTATACGCGCGCGGATACAAGTGCTCGATTCGCAGGCTTCGACATCGGAAAACGCGACGCGTGCCCGGAAATGGACCGTTTCCGTCAGCCGTGTAAAAATAGCGAAAAACACGTATACTGCGTTGTACCGTACACGCATAGGTTTTCTCGTGCATCCGCTTTACCGCCGAACGCCGGACAGCGCATTATCAGCGTTTTTATTCAGCCCGCGACGTCAGCGGTCCAGACAAACGAGGAGGGAACTCGGTAAAAGCGAACCGCGGCGCTTTTAATAAACTTTTGGCCGTAGACGGACGTAGGCTGTAGGTTCAGCGTAATAAAAGGCGCGGCGACGAAAACCGTTTAAACAACGGTTTATATTGTTTTCGCGTCGGTTTACGTTTCATACGCGGAGTGTCTTACGAACCGGTGCGATATCTCGAAAAGTCCTTATAAAAGCTCTTAAACGTTACCGTTATTTGCTCCCGTCTTCATTTTCGGTGACGATTATCAAATCGCCATCACTACCGTCGCACGACCTCATAACTGTGTGTAACGGTTTCAGCCGCCACTGTTAGTGCTCTCCAACTTCCGCGGTTCAGGATCATTTCCTAACCAGTTTGCGGGTTCCAGTCTCTCAGTAGGTCTTGTCGTACGCCATCCGTCCATCGTTACGTTGGCCTTCTACTCGGTCCCTTCACTTCCGGTCGCCGTTCAACAGTCCCCGCAGCTTTATTTGTCGACCTCCCTCCGTTTTACGCGTCCAAACCACTATAGCCATCTCCGGCCATTCGGATAACTTTGAACTACGGGTATTTTCGTTATTCGTTCCGCGTTTTTTCTCCTCCGCCTGCGGCAGTTCAACGTATACTATACAGGTCCGCGAACCGTCCTCAGTACTTTGTTTTCAAAAAAAAAGGCCCTTAGGTTCTATTAAACTCCCGGCGCGTCCGTAAGAAATATCGTCACCGTGTGACGCGGCGTGCCTCCGGCGAACAGCATCGATCCCCGAGTATTTACGGCGACGCTAACGGATGCTTTCACTATATTGTATTGTCATAATGTCACTACGTATGCGTATATTTACGCGCATACGTCCGTTTTGGAACTGTTATGACGTGTGCGGATTTAAACCGTTTTGTACGAGCGTGCCGCGCACGTGAACAGTTACGATATATTTATGCGCGCGGCGCGGTAGTTTTTGGTTTTTTTTTTTTTTTTTAATCTCCGTCCGGACGGCCCGGGGACGACGCGCGAACAGATGGGTCGCCGCGTCGGCGTGTCGTAATGTTATGATACACACTCGCGTGTACCGACTGTTATCGTTCCCTCGGGAGGAGGGGCGGGGGGGTTTCCGAAACGAGACTGCAGCGCGTACCCGTACGAAATCGACGACGTGACGATAATATTATTATCGTTATTATCGTTGTCGTTTCGTTTTCGTATTGTTCGGCCCCGGGGCCTTTTTGGCGAACCGTTCGGACGGACTTATCGCGGGGACGTGCGGCTTTCGCGGGAAAACGTTCGAGTCGACCTCGGCCGGGTTTCCCCCCCCCCGACCTCTCCTTTTACAATAACGGACTAACGTCGACGAAACGTTCGTTGGACGTCGAGCGCGAAAACGTGAAAGGACGCGACACGCACGCACGCGGTAAGGTATCAATGTAAAACGTATTGTGTTGGTACGCCCGTCTCTCCTGCGTCAGTCAAGTACAGCCGATTCAGAATTACTCTTGAAACCCGTATGATTAGGGAAACGTTTGTGTAGAAAAATAATATTATAATATGACACTGTTAGGATAGGTGTCGGGACCCCGATGTCGCGTGTCGAATTTGTTTTAATTGATATGCTATTGGTTTTTTTTTTTTTTTTTTTTTTAAAATTTGTTTGTTTTTATGTCGAACTTTAATAAGCTGCATTTATATACAGTAACTTAACACTATCTGGCTTCACTGTTGAATTTCAGCTAGACGAAAAGGTGGTCGAATTTCTGTTTATTAAACGCGCATCGAGAAATTTATATTTTTTTAAAATGAAATCGATAGCGTTAAAATGTTTTTCTAAATACCAAAAGGAGAATAGTCGCCGCCGTCGCTGTTACTATCGGCACGGCCGTGAAAACCGCTCGGACCGCACCGGGTCGGTCCGGCCGCCGGGAGAACGGGCGCACGAGATTTTCGCGATTTCGACGGCGCCGTGTCGTTATTCGCTGCGCTGCCCGTCGAGCAGTGCCCCCGACCGCGCGGCGATAGTTCGGGTGCTCGGTGCACAACTACAAGACAATCTGCAACGCTGTTTTTTTGTTATCGATATCAAAAAAAAAAAAAAACAAACAAACGTTTATCTTTCTTGTTATAAATAAAATAAGTATTTCGAGGACACTCATGAAAAATATTGATTTTTTTTTAAATATAATATCAGAACCGTGGGGGGGGGGCCTGAGCTATGTCCCATCAAGCTCGTAGAAAGCCGTAACATTAGAGTTCTCCTGTACTACACGGCGTGTAATAATTACCAGTACTGAGCATTAACTAGTTAAAAAGTTAAAGTCATGTTAAAAAGTGAAGCTAATTTAGCTTTTTATTTTAATAAATTTAGTTTCCTTAGGAACTATTAACTTAACATTGTTAACTCGAGGAATACACACGATTTAACTTTTAATTACGAGTTAATTTTATAATTAAACGATTCGAGTTGATTTCAATTTTTACTCGTACGCTCATATGAATAAATTATATTATTATTATTATTATTATTATTATTATTATCAGTATATTATATGAACAATTTAAAATACGAATATTGTTACGGATGCCCGGTTTTTTTTTACTGTTATCGTCGGTTGGGCGGGTAGATTATTAGGTCATTATGTCATTATAGAGTAGGTTATAGCCAATATGTAAATTTTTTTTTTTCAAATTTACTTAACTCGAGTTAAAAAGTTTAAGGTCAACGTCTAACTTGATTGAATCGATAGATTATTTTGAATTCATTTTTTTTTTTTTTATTAACTTTATTCAAATTTAAATTTAACTTAACCGAGTTGAAAAAAATCATTAACTTGCCAATTCTCGATCGTATGCATAATACAATATGCACGTATTTCGAGTATTATTTTATCGGCTTATGTTATTGTTATTAGCATTATTATTGTTTCGGTGTCATTCGTTTCATTTTTTTTTTTTTTTTATTTCTTTTTACTATACTGTCTCCGCGTGAACACCGGCTATGACAATAATAAATACGTAAATAAATAAATAGCTATATAATCCTCCCCCCCTCCCCTCGCGTTAAACGCGATATTTCGTGTTCGAAAACGTTCCGCTGAACCTTGTGTTTTCAATTAATATCCGTCCGTCAGGTAGATAGGTAGTTGTCGTATAGTGCCGAAGAGGTAGAATTGTTAAAATATTATCGTATCATATCGAAACGTTATTATTGGTAAAAAAATGTTTTATAATACGTACAATACGTAAATTGTATATACTTCGAATCATTTCCTTAATTACGTAATTTTAATACTTTGTTCAATATTATAGTAGAAACCCATCAGCGGCGATTTCGCGAAATTAATAATTCTATGTGCCGAAGTATAATATAATATACTTACTTGTAATTTCGTTGAAAATTATGCGGAATTTTACTACGGCGAGGAAATAATTTTAACGCAATCGATTTTAATTAAGGATTTACGTTGTTTTAAGATAGGTATTTTACTAAAAAAAAAAAAAAAAAAAAAAAATAATAAAATAAAACAAAACAAAATAGCATTTTGTTTTATTGGTCGAGTATTTAACCGGTAAGGTTAGGTTACGTATACTAACTATCAGCCGAGCCAGGGCAATTGAACAGACAATTAATGAGTTAACGCGGTAAAAATAAATGTTTTCGTATATAACAAGTGAATGATTTGAAAATTTAATTAACGTGAGTTGAACTTTTGAAAACATTTTTTACAAACTTATTATCGTCATAGTGAAAATGGTTTAACGTAAATAGTTAGTGAATTTTTTTTTGTCTTTTCAAATGAGGATGTTCAATGTAAAAATCGGAGGGTCGTGTACTCGTTCTCAGTCCTCATACGAAAAAAGACCCCATGGCATTGTACTAAGGTAAATTATCTCTGTACTCCCGTGTAAAATCCCTAAATACGCCTCTGTGCCGCAATAACGTGCGTAAGGTCGAATTGTATACGGGATAAAAAAAAAAAAAGGGTTATGACTGAACTGCTCGGGTCAAGAAAGTACCGAGTGCTGTTTCAAAAAAAAAAAAGTTCGAAAAAGCAAACTCGATTAAAAAACTGTCAATAAGCTCCTGCAGCGAACAATCGCAATATTATATTAAACGGTAACGAGATAAATCGTAAAAACTATCCGATTTTACCGTAATAATTTCAATACAAATCACAAATAAAACTAAAAATTATCGATAACCGTTTTTTTTTTTTTATCGGATCTTGTTCTGCGCACGACATTATATACAGTATAGGTTTTAGATTATGAACGGAGCGGGAAATGAATTGGTTTCACGATGACTTTTAATTTTTTTTTCTGTGGACATTTGGACAACTTTTCTACCAGCAATTTTGTTCCGATTTTCAATTAAAGCACTTTTTTAAAAAGTAAATCTAACTGGAGTGGTACGTTGAGGAGGTTTTCGTTTTTTGATTTTTTTTTTTTTTTTTAATAAATGGTAAAAGCGGGAAAAAAAGGATCAAAAATGGGAGAACTTTTACTTTATAAAACAAAATACTTTATAAATACTTCATAAAACAATTTATCGGGCATTTTCGGGGGTGCCAAAGAGCCTCTAGTACCCCGCTAGTCGCGCCCGTGAATCGCGTTGCGATAAGCGATGCGGAAATATCGTGGTGTGGATAAAGGTCACCGCGGCACGGCGATATGAAAATGCATATCGCGGTACGAATGGTGAGTCTCGCGCGCATACCGACAGTAATACGGGCGGCCGTATGGGGGAAAAAAAAAAAAAAAAAAAACGAAAAACAAAACCTAAAAATAATAATAAAACAAGAGAGAGACGCGGTGCTAAACTACAACGGCGAGGGGGTGGGGAGGGCGGAGGGCGGGCTAAGGGGTAGGGGGGTCGTCGCGTTTTTAGAAAATTGAATGGGAACCAGAGACCGGCTCGAAATCCTCGTTAATTTATAGCTCTGTATACATATACTATTATGATATTATATTATGGCGAGCCCTCCCGCAGCGGCGGCGGCGGCCGACCGAAATGGTTCTGTTCCACATGACGCGCGGAACAACAGCGGTATAAAAATGTATATACATTTAACTTGGGAAAAAAAAAAAAAAAAAAAAAAAAACAACAAATATTACCCGTATACGGGTTTTATGCCCGGAAACGGTATAGCGTGTAACGAAACGACAGAGCTTTACCGGAAAGTATAGCGATAATTATCACCGCGGTCGTTTTAGCAGTTTTTACGATGCGAGAATAATCCCCGCGCGTTAATACTATAAAAAAAAAAAAAAAAAAACAACAAATATTACCCGTATACGGGTTTTATGCCCGGAAAATAATAGTTTGATTGTCTAAATACCCGGCGATTTGTGGCCGCGGTCGAACGGGTTTGTGTACCGCGGCGATGGCCGCTCAGCTATTTACGATTTTACGACTGTCGTTGTATTATATTGGTTAAAAATATTACGCGCGATTTTTTTTCAAAATACGATGGTAAATCACGCGTTGAATTTTCGAATATATTTTTCACAGAGCTCAAAGTAATTTGATTCGCATAAATTCGGACCCGATACGCTTATGAACTGCTCAAATTTTAGACTCTGAGCGAAGCGGAGCAGGTTTTACAACGATGTTTATTTCATTTTTTTCTGCGAAAAACTTTTCTACCAGATTATCAGATTTTCCCCAGCGTTGCACTTTTCCTGAAAGAAAATTCGACCGGGGTGGCACTTTAAGGAGGTCACTTTTAGATTTCTCCGGGGGTATCGTAATATATACGGAAAACCGGGGAAATAACGTTTAGGAAAAACGGTCAAATTATTTTCAATTCGTAAATACTACGGCCTTTCAAAACACGTGTAACCGAACTCCGCTCAGAATCGTTTTTCGTTAGCAACGCTTAATCGTTTCCAACTTTTCATCTACAACGGAGGCCCCACACCAATCGTGCGAAATATGTCCGTCTATTTTTATTAGTTTTTTTTATCGTTTATTACAACACTTATTATTATACAACTCGTTTGTTGGATTGTTTAAGCATTACTGATCCGCCAAAATAATATTGTGCTCGTAAATACCAAAAAAGACCGAGGGGCAATTTTATACGTTGTAACACCAAACGTATCAAATAACGCCTACAACAGCTCAAAAACCATCCGCGTATTTTGAACATTTTACCGCGTTTCGCGAAATGATAATATATTATCATAAGCAATCTGCGAACGTTTTAAGCCTCCGGGATTATTTTTAACATCGAATTACAATTAAAAAAAAAAAAAAAAACAGTATCGTTGTTGCCGTGCGTTTTGCCGATTCTCTTACGTTTTCGTCTGGGTCATTTGTCAATAATTATAATAATATAATAGTAATAATTATTATTATTATTAGAGGAAAACTACACAGAATATCGAAAAATGATCGTCTCGACGGAACAGTTAGATGAAATTTGATTTCGGGAAAACTTCATTTTCCTATCTATACGCGATAATCCGGTAAAAAAACAATTAACAACCAGGGGGGGAGGGGAATGAAAAAAAACCACGCTGTAATAAAACCAATACTTTTCCAGGCGCGCTCTGAATCTAAAACGCGTCTATTATCCAGCCGTTCTCAATCTTTTCATTGGCCAGAAAGAAATTCTCGGACCACATCGATTTGCAGATGAATTTTTTTTTTTTTTTTTCATGTCCCTTTTGTAGCTCAATGACGTCATTGCGTACACCACTCGGTAACTCGTCGTCGAATTCAACTCAAAGAGTGTTTCCGGACACCTGTCGGTTCTAAACCGTCGTATTCTGGGAAACGACGTCGATTGAATTCCTGTTAATGTCTTTGCGGATGGCGTGGAACGACGTTAAAAAGAAGCGGTCGCTGTTAATTCGCACTGTGATTCGACGAGCAGCAATAATGGCGCCTGTTACTTGTACATAGGGTAATAATGATTTTATCACACTGTGACGTCGTCACAAATCGCTATTAATGATGTTAAATTCGTTTAACCGCGAAAAATTTCAAACACCGCGATATTGTATAAAACGTGAAAAATCCGCAATTATATTATTGCTACTCGCTACCATTGTTACCTACCTATGCAATGTGTTCCAGAGTGACGTGACTGGCCGGCTTCATGTGAAAGTACTCCAATACTGATGGAGAAACTCTTTTTAGAATGGCAGTCTGAAATTTGTATTTTTTGAGTTATGGACAATTTAAGTTATATTTAACGAAACCGTATCTACCGTCATCCATTCTTCTTGTGTATCTTTAAAACTTTTCAACTTTCGAACGTCATTTTTTTTTTATTTTTTTAGCTACTCTATTGTCCTATCAACCGAAATACACAATTAAACGAGAAACGAACAAATTGTTTTTATTTACAAAAAATCACGTATAACTCTGAATAATAACTCCCCCATTATTTAAGTTTTAAACAGGCCAAGCCCGAATCGCATGCAATTTAACAACAATCTCTTGCTAACAATAATACAAAAAAAAGTACGGACATACTTCGCACGTGGGCGCAGCCACTATTGTTGTTGGGAAGTTAAGAAGGTAGGATACAGACGGGAATTTAATGTATATCCGTAAGCAACGATAAACCATTACTAACGAAAAAACGATTCTGGGCGGAGTTCAGTTGATAGTAGTGTTGCTCTGTCAACAATATAATATATGCTATATTACGGTAAATACGGTTACAACATTGTGCGTTTCCATGACAACAATGATTGTTTAAAAAAAAAAGATTAAAACAATAAAAACTTAATAATAACAAAAAATAAATAAAAACGGTTGCCAATGACAACCTTATTTTTAATCGTTTAATCGTTTTTAACCTAAAAAAACTAGGTTTTCCTCATTGATGACAATTTCAAAAAATTACATCTTTAAAGTACCTCTCGGTGAACAATTTCCTTTGGGTAAAAGGAGTATACATGATAATCGGAGTAAGCTTTCTGGTAGTGAACGCGTTCGCGTAAAAAAAAACAAAACTAAATAAATATAAATCAACATCTCTCGTAAAACCAATACATTCTAAACACGGAATCTAAAAGAAAACAATAAAATATAATACGCATACAATTAATATAATTGTACAATGCAGCATTTCGAACGGGTCGATACGACCGAAACGATTTTTAATTCGTTTACAGTGTTCATATTTTTATCGGAGTGGGAGGGGGGAGGGCATTTCTTGAATAATCGGCTACTCCGGTGTCGGGATTAAATTTATCATCGGACCGAGTGTTACGAGCGTAGGTGTATGGAAGGAGAAACGACCGGAGTACTCGGAGAACCGTCTCGGTGTCGTGTACAGGTATTGTATACACGTCGTGTTGTAATTCAAAAATATGGGGGGGGGGTCAGCCTAATTATATAAAATCGATTCACACGCGTAAGTCAATTATAAATTCGATTACCTTACTTCTCCAGGCGGCAAATTGATCTGTTGAATTTGATAAAGGTGACCGAAGTAAATAAAACGATTTTAATGTAACAACTGTTTTTTTTTTTTAAATATAAAACACTGTTCCAGGTTCCCGTGCTTTCGTAAGAATCTCTGCGTAGTCTTTTACACTCGCTTGTGACCATCTGTCCAAAAGCAACGGGAACAGTACATGCACCGTGTGCGATTAGAAGTGGCCGGCCTCCTTATAACTGGAGATCTACGCGCGTGTGCGCGTGTAAATGTGTAATCTCAATTTGGTTAACGCCAACAACCCAATCTAATACTTAACGGCTATAAATTATTATAATTGTTTTACAACGTTGTGTGTACATTTTATTTTAACAATATATATGATATTTTAAATAGCCATATCCTTACGATGAGTAGACACCGCATTCAAATATATGTTATTTGATAAAAAAAAAAAAAATATATGTTTAATTTTCGTTCCTGTTTCGAACTGTTTGATTTATTCTCTTACATCGCGTAATATTTTATTTTACATAATGTACGGTAGCTTGAATAGCGTATTCAATTACAATCGGACGTTCGGATGTAATATTTTGCGCGCGGGGTCACGCGCGTTACGGTTTCGCCGCGATATCCCGTCGGGCCGTCCGCGGCGAGATTGATAACGGTGATTCGCGCGCGCGCGCCAAAGCGAGAAGGAGGCCATCGTTTTCGATACAATAACGTCGGCGACACGTTTCTGTCGCTCGCGGCCGTCCGTCCGGTCGCGCGCGGTCCAAGGCCGCACATAAAACCGAACGTTTTGCGGCGTTATCACAACGTTATCGTTATCGTCGCGGGCCGACCGGCGTACCGTCGGTTCGATCGGGTTTTCCGCAGTGACACGCTCGCGGCGGCACGCGCAGCGACAAGCGCGCGCGCGCTCGCGTCGCAACGGAACCAAATTTCGCCCGACGCAAATTTCTGCAACTTAAACTCAGATTTATCATCCCCGTTACACGTGCGTACACGCGCGGCCGCGGAACCCGCGTGTCAAAACATTTCCCATTATCTCGGGGGCAATATTTTACCGCCTCCGCCCGTTCCGCAGCGGCGTTTTCGCGGGCTTCACACCGCGTAAACGTCTATTTAGTCACGATACTTCATGATTTACGACGCCGCCGCCGCCGCCGCCGCCGCCGGTGAACTTTTATACGTGTCGAATATTTCTCCTTTAAACTCCTTTACGGTTTTTATCCTTCGGCCGTGACGGCGGCGGCGGTTATACCCCGAGGGGCTGTACGCCCGGGCCCGGGTTCGAATGTCATGACGTTCGCTTTTTAAACTCCCCTCCCGTATAACCCGCCCCGTCGCCGCTCGGCGACTGTGCGTCGCAAGCGGGGAGATTGCCCCGCGACTCTCCGGGAGCCGAGCGAATACCGCGCCGGAAAAACCGTATTGGTTTCCCGCCGCCCGCGCGTCATCGTTCGGCTCACGAGCGCGCGACACGTTACTACTCACGCGTTACGCGGAAAATCCGTTTAACGCCGAAATTGCCGTTAATTGCGAGTGCGCGTCGTCGGCAGTTTACCCCGCGATATCCGCACCGACGGTTTTCCGACGAGTCGTGCGGTTATTGGCGGCGACCCCGGCGGAGTCGATCGAGAAAACGTAGCCGCGGGCGACTAAAAACAACAACAAAAAAAAGATAACTTCGAAACCGTCGTATAAGTTTTGCGTTCAAGCGATTCAAGTAGCGTCGTAAAAAATTGCACTTGCATAATACTTTTGACGATTCGTCACCATAGCGTATCGCCCGTGCGTATCGAGTACGGAGTCAGTTCAGATGATAGTGTGATAGTGATGTGGTCTTGAAAAAGTAAAAAAAAAAAAAAAAGGTAAACTTCGAAATTACTATATTGTTACCTACCGCAAAACGTTTTCAATCATTCCATTGAATGTGTAAAGAAAGTTTTTCTGAACTTTACAAATCGCTTGGGCCTATTTTCCAAGATTTCAGGCGACCGTCGCGCGTCGGTCGCAATAAAACTGAACGTGTTCAGTCGCGGCCTAAGTCGAACCGATAAACGTGTATACTCAACGGGCACTATTTTTCGACTTCAAGAAGGGTCTCCGGTAGCAAATTTCGTCCTGTTGTCGAGGAGGTGGGGTTTTTTTTTACGAAATTTAATTGTAATTTTCGTAACGATCCGAAAAATCGCGAATCGCCCAGAATCGTTTTTCGCTTGCGACAGTTTGCCTATAATAGACGTAAACCACTTTTTACAGTCTAACTTTCCGACTTTCTACCCACAACAAGGAAGGCGTATCACAAGACACCATCAGCTCTTTTTCTATCAACGTTATTATCAAGAATATGTGTTTTGTGTTTTAGATTCTGAGTGAAGCGAAGAAGCTCATGATTTTACAAAGATGTTTATTTTTTTTTTTTTTATCTGTTAACAACTTTTCTACCAGAAGACTTGCACGGATTTCTATGTGTATCATCTTTCCTGAAAGGAGATCAGAGTGGAGAGGTACTTTAAAAAGGTTATATTTTAATTTTCTCAAGAGTTTTTCCAGCCAATGTGAAAAACCGGGATAAAACACGGGAAAACGTGGAGAAATTGGAAAAATCGGTACAACATTAAATAAATATTATTGAAGAATATATATAAAGCCTGTTTAACAATTTTACTATAAAACTATATGTATATTGTTGACAAAGGATCAATATAAACTTAACTCGACTCAGAATCGTTTTTTCGTAATAGTTTATTGTTTACAGGAATACATTAAATTATCTATAACCGTGATTGCACCCGTCCCCATTATCCTATAACGTCTTATTTTAATATTCAACTTAAAATAATTTTTTTTTTTTTCAAAGAACGATCGATGTAAATTATATAGGGCCATGTGGAGTATATATTCGACCACTCTATCATCCCTCCCTCCCCCCCAAAAATAAAAATACCAGGATTTAACTTATATTATTTATTATATAAATTAATATATTATTGTATTATATACAGTATCTCGTAATATAGACCCTACAAAGACATAGAAATCGGCTCGAGACGCGGTACGGTTGAAAATCACCTCGTCTTTATTGAGTCAATATTAAAAGTTTTGTAGCTCAATTTAAATTCGAAATTGACTAAACTTCTAGACTATAATTAAATGCCTGTACCGTCTCCAATATTAGCCACTCATAATATTATGTTAGTCGTTTTAATTGGATTGATTTTTGCGATACTTTAACAAAGAACAAAAAAACCGTTGAAAATATATTAAAAAGGGGTAATTACGTTCGAGGAAATGACGATTTCTACTGTATTGGCTTTTTTATACGGAAACGCTATGTATAATTTTTTAAATATTTCACCTCGCGAACAATGCATACCGATGGGGATATATGTATATATATACCGCCTTTAATAACCAAAACAATGCAGTCGACTTTTAATGTATATATACGAATGCGGATAAAAAAAAGAGGGGGAGCGATACGTACCTATAATAGGTACCTACAGTGGATGGGAGGAGGGAGAGGAAAGGAATAAAAAAAATCGCCTTTAAAGTCACTTAAAACACAAATATTATATCCTTTCTGCCGGCACGCGGGGCTTTGACGCGAAGGGAAAAACGAGCGGTGGTGGTGTCGGGGAAAAAAAGGAAAAATTCTATCCGAATTCCTCTTTATTTTCTGCTGCAGTTGAATACATTAGCTGTCGTGTCGGATATCCGCGAGCGGGGGCGCGCGCTCCTTTGCGATATAAGTACGAGACGGGGTCCGCGGGTCGCGGCCGGAAGAAAAGGCCTCCCCCGCGGGGCAATAATGTAAATCGGCGGTGCGTCTCCCGCTGCAGCCCCGGCCTACACGCGCACGACTCTTATTTGTCGGGATTTAAAGTGCCGTGGTTCCTGTTCGCTTTTCCGCATCGCCTCGTCCTCTCCGCTTTTGCGCTCGGCCGTTTGACCTTTTATGTGCTCGGACGGCCTATAGGACGACGACGGCGGCGACGGCACGCGTATATCACCGCGGCGGGTCCGGCGGGTCCGGCGAGAAACGTATCCGGCGCGCAGCCCGACCCGGCGATTTTCACCCCTCGGACCGGGGCGAATCGGGATTTATTATCATACGCGCACTCCCCCTCCCCCCTCACCGTTGTTTTAGGTAGGTATATACCTACGCCTCCGCCGGACCGCCGTTTCCTCAAACCGTAATGCGACTCTATCGGACGTTACGGTCTCGTACGCGTGTATATTATATACAGTTATCAAAAAAAAAAAAAAAAAAAAAAAAAAAACGAAACGAAACGAAACAAAACCGTCTTGTTTGCGTTTTGTTCTATACATATATATATATATAAGGGGACGAAGAGTGGCCACGGGATAGGAGAGAGGATCGTTGCACTGTTACTGCTGTTACTGTGTACGCGTATAACTGCAGTGGCAGCGGCAGCGCCGGTGATATTATACGGTCGGGTCGGTCACGGACAAAAGACATAAATTATACGGCCGAGAAGTTAAGGCCAAACGTCTACCCGGCGGAGGTATATATATTTCGCGGGCGGAGGGGAGGGGAGAGACCGTACGGGACAAAGGGGAAATAACAGAGGGGAAAAAAAAATATTACACGGTCTATATATAAATATATATCTAAAAAGTTTTCAATGATTTTCGTGCGGATTTTTATACGTCTCGTTAATATACGTACACGTACAGGTATATTGCAGGTACTCGCGGCCAACCGAAATAATGACTAATTAGCGAATAGAGTTTCGGACGTATCGCGATATCAGGTCACGTAACAATTATCGGACTAAAAATTCGGAATCGTTACTGCGCGAATCGCTCGCGATTAGATTTCTCCCGGCCGTTGTTTTCGGTAGTTTTCCGGTAGGTTGAACATTAACGGTGACTTAACGTTTTGGCTGTGTTTTGGTAATTTCAACTATTAACTCGCGGCTTTGAACCTTCGGTTTTTTTTCATGAACTCGGCCCTTTGTTATATTTTTTTTTTTCGCGTCGCTTAACTCGATAAATAACGAAAATCAATTTCGAATATTATGCCACCGCGTCGAGTTGACAATTTCAATTTCTTTCGATTCGAACACGATATTAAACGGACGGTATTTACACTCCATTCGAATATCACGAGTCCCTGCCGCGTGCATACAAATAATGCATTTTTCAACATAAACACACACACACACACACACACAAATTAAACAATCGTTTAATCACACGTCATGTTTACATGGTTCGAGTTTTAACAAAAAAACAATTTTACGAAAATTAATAACAATAACTTATTTTCGAGTAATGTAAATTACGTTTTCAAATCAACTCTTGTCTTAAATGTATACATTAACTTTAACAGCCTCGGCTGTTTGAGATCTTTTTTCAACACTATTTTACGTACGGAGAATGTCGCAGACAGTACTGTATAATATTAAAGAAAGGGTTTTTTAAAAAAAACCTACTATTTTCAATCACAAGTAACGAAAATCATATTAACTGCTACATACCTGAATCGACTACGTGCAGATCGTTAAAATCGTTTTCGTATCCGTTATGAAATATATTTTGTACGAAAATATGACTGAAAAAAATATTATTGCACCGCGATATTTTTTTACACGCGTTTCTCCGTCAAGCATATTTTAATTTTTAATAGTAAAAATAATTTATTAAAACAAAAAAAAAAAAAAAAAAAAAAAAAAAAAACAGTGTCCGAAAACTCAACGCCACAATAGAATAATTTGTAATTATTACTATTATTATTATTATATTAATGCATCCCACTATATTATATTATTCCGTTATAATTTAAGTAAAATAATTCGTCCGAATTTTTTTACGACTGGAAAATAAAAAAGTAATAACAATTATGTAGATCGAGTTATTAACAATTTATTTTACAAATTAAAAAAAAAAACTGTTCGCCGATCTGCGAATGACAACGGTGCAGTTTGAAATCAAAATTCGCACTGTTTAGTTTATAACAACATTTTCTTTTACTTCTAATGACTTATACTTATTTCCCTAATTGTATTTTTAAACATTTTTTTTTTTTTTTCCGAAACCGTATATGTTTATGTCGGATTATTTATCGAAATATCGTATACGCGAATAATGTGTGCGAATGTGTCATCCTTATCGAAAAAACAATAACACAATAATCGGTTGCTGTATTTTGTTAACAATCCAACGTGCGCCATGTGATAACAGTATTCGAGGCTGCGTGGTTTGACGCACTACATACAGGACCTTAAACAAATGCCACTAAAATCCCGAAAAACCCATTTGAAACCCCCGAAACGACGATACCCGAATAACCGTTCACGGACGCTCGCTCACTCTGAGAATTCCGTGTCGATTCGGCGTGACGAACTGTCTACTACGAGTCGCAGGCACAGCTAGGGGGGGGGGGGTGCTAGGGGGTCTTTAGCATTTGAAATTAGCACCCATAAAAAAACCAAATTAAATTTTTCATGGTAACGACTAAGTATTTTGTACACATATTTCACAATTAATGAGCTGAACATAATATAGATTACCTACAGATAATCCATGTGTGTATGGAAAAAAAATCCATCTGTATGTCTGTAAACGGACGTCTGTCTGTCTGTAAACGGACGTCTGTCTGTCTGTATGTGTTTTATAGACTCAAAAACTACTGGACCGATTTTGACGGGGTTTTTTTCTTGCAAAATGTTCCGCGTGGTCCGGAGAAGGTTTATAGATATTCAAAATTTTTAAAATTCAACCCCCGACTAATTGGCACAGGGATTTTCGTGTTTTGTGGTATAATTTGTACTGATTGGGTTACCTTGGTAACAAAGTAAACATTATTGTTATTTTTGTTGATTGTGTGTTCTAAAACAATCTATGGTCAAAAAGTATCTTTGGTGTCGGGATGCCGGGTAGTTCAGCTAAAAAACAAAAACAAAAAAAATAATAATAATAATAATAATAAAATCTAGCAATAGCATTGCCGGGACAGCTAGTGTTAAAATAGTTACGGTACATTTCTATGTACAAAATTTTAAACGAAACGCGTAGTTTATTGTAAGAATTGCGTAAGAGATTATGGGAGCGTAGGCTCAATGGGTTTTCGACGTGTTCCTCGTAATTTTAGCACCCCCAAAGTCGGTAGTCTAGTTGCGCCTATGACTCTACGACGGTTATTCTTATAATGCAGAATCACCTCGTTGTACTAGTACTTATAGATAATATATTTAATCGTGTAAATTATTTCGAAACGAGGATACAAACTACGAGTATATTATGTACAGCCGCCTGTGTTAGTAAAAAGAAAAAAAATCGTAGTTATTCATAATATTAGAACGGATAAAAATAGCGTAAAATTAATTAAAAAGGAACTAAAATGACCCGAACAATATTTAAAACGTCAAAAAAAATAATGCGAAATTAAAGTTTCATAATTGAATTCGTCGTTACGTAGTCGCGATTCAAACTAAAAAAAAGTCGCCAAAAAAAAGCTACGTTTTCCGACCGGCTAAAATAAAAAAAAAAAACGCTTTCCTACAAATTAACAACCCTAGTAATACATATTCCGCCTACATACAATTACATAATACTTGTTACAAGTCTTGAACGTTTGAGTTTTTTAATTTCGAACCCGACGATAATCACTTACACAAAAAAAACAAATATATACTTTTACATTTTTGTTTTTTTTTTATCTTCATATATTATATTAAGCGACGTATTTTCGCTAAATAATTCGAAAACTATAATTTTTTTTTTTTTTTTTTTAATCGAAAGTTTATTAATTAAAGATTTCCGTCTGCTGTGTGTTTACCTGCGATGCACAAGACACGCTGTTTGTATAAACACGCGTATACAATTTGTTCGTGTTGCGCCGTTCGATTTGAATTCGTTCTCCGTCGAAATGTTTCGATTCGACAAAAGAAAAGAAAAAAACGCACAGACGGGTACTATAACATTAAATTTTGATATGCGCGCGAACAAAGTCGTTTGGTGAACTATACAGAGTGTCCCACGAAGATATGCCCGTTATCCATTATTTCCGGAGATAATAAACATAATCGAATTCTGGTCTTTTCATATTACACACGGGGATGAAGACTACAAATATTTATATTTTTTTTTTTTGAAAAATTTGAAGATAGCCATTTTATAAAATTTATTCTTCTGGAAATTTTGACGTATCAACTTTTTAAAATTGTCATCAAATTCCCGATTTTTAATACACATTTTAAGAGGAAAGTAGGTACCTATGATTATGCAGCAGGCCGTAATCGCATTTTCTAATTGATTATTATTATTATCACGATTAATTGACTGGACACTTCTTTTCACTGAACTTATAATCTGTCTATCTTTTCTCTTGAACTCTATATAATGGCTATCTTCGAATGTTTCAAAAATAATGAAATAAAACGTGGTTTTTTTAAAAAAATTTACCGAAATATAAAAAAAAATAATTGCAATTTCCGACCGTTTTTAACGAAAAAAATATTCGGATTTCGTTCCGACCCGAGAGCATAGACAAGGACGTAGGTACAGTCGGAGACGGTAAGAAAAATCCGGAATAAAAAATGTATACCTATTGCTTAGCTATATAGGAGGCGCGGTTCCATTGGGATTCCATCATTTACCGAAATATTATGCTGACCGTCCGGTTCTCCCGGGACATAAATTACGCGAACAACACGAAGATTATTGACGTTATCGATGTAATATTTTGTCCGATGACGCAGACTAATTTTTCAACATCCGCCCCTTTTATTATTTTCGGTATACAGCCGCGTAAAATTCTGCCCTATTCACGCCGATTAGAATATTATCGAAAACGCATTCCTATATTAAAAACCGCGACACGTATAATATTCAATTCGTTGATATTACTTCGGTCGATTTAATCGAGTCATGGTCCGATTATGATAATAATAATGGTTATGACAAAAATGTATAAAATCGATGGTCGCGAGGTTATTAAAAAAATTAAAAAGGAAATGTAATAACAGAATATAGCGTAGGAATCGTTGTAAATGTTTTCCGACTGCAATACGTTAAAAGGACGCGCATGCATTAAATGCGAACGGAGAATTTAAAACATGCGTGTCAAAGGAAACCCTGTTTACAAAAGGTCGTATCGAGCAGTGTTCGAGTTGCAACGTACAGCGCGGGCAAAAGCCAAAAAGGCAAGAATCGAATGCGCGCGCTGCAAATAAAGGAAACAAGACCGTATTATGATGTAAATAATTAATCGTGTATCTTTACTCGCGTGTGTTTGCCGTAAAAATATCTGCATAGAGATAAAAGACGATCGCTCCGAAATCGTCTATAGATACTGACAAAGATTACGGTTAATATTTAATTTATCTCGGGTTACGATAATATACACGATGGTGTCCTACGCGAAGATATACCGGCTACCCATTATAATAATATCCCCGGAGATACTGAAAATAATTGAATTCTGTTTTTTTTTTTTTTTTTATACTACTCGCGGGGATAAGAGGACAACAAATATTTGTATTTCGATCGATTTTTTACGTTTTGGTTAAAAACTTAAAAAAAAAAAATAATTGTTTATTTTATTATTTTTGAAAATTTGAAGATAGCCGTTTTATAGAGTTTATTATTCTTCTGGAAATTGCCCATCAAGGGCCAACGCCACATGCCACACGCCTTTACATCGTTCCCTGTCTACTGCACTTTTCCACTCTTATCGTGTCGTCTATGGTTCGTAGATCCTTTAGCGTTGTATCCAGCCATCCTTGCCTAGGCCTTCGCCGTGGTATTTTCCTACTTAATTTCTCGTACAGGATTTCCCGCGTTTCACTTCCTTCTGTTCTCCAGACACGCCCGAGCCACTGAATCCGTTTACTTTTATGCACCAACATTAGGATGTTTGAACAGGTTCAAATTCAACAAAGGTATTGTATCTAATTTCGTATTGTTGTGCGGAAGTATTGAAATATGCGCAGTATATCCGTCCTATAATTTTTCTTTCGAACGTTATAAGTGTCGAAAGTCAATAAGCCATAATTATAACAATCAATCGGCGAATGCAATTGCAGCCGGCCGCATAGTGACAGGTGCTTTTCTTTTTAGTTTTTTTTTGTTTTTTTTTTTTTTACCGAAACATTAATATTTATTTCAATTATACATATTTGTAGTCCTTATCTCTGCGAATAATATATACAAATTATATATATATATATATGTGAAAAAAAACAAAATTCAATTATATTTATTATCTCGGGAGTATTGCAATCAGGGGAGTTTCCGTAAGGTATACTATACATATACGCCGTGTACTCTCGTGGTTTTTTTTCAACAGTTTTGTGGGTATTCTGCGTATACTCTCCGGTCTCGACCGATTCGCGAACTCTCGAGATTATTATTGACACGACCTTCGCCACTGTGAACCTTAAGAGAAACTATCCGTATTGCATTAAATGTTTACGTTTCGGTATTATTTGACGGCTCGGTATACTCTCAAAAAAAATTAACGGCAACACCGCCGGTCGCAACGGATATAACATCTTAGTGGAGCACCCTGTGTACGGGTATCTAAGTTTAAAAAGAACGGATCGATTTACCGCGAACAAAACACCGTCCGCCGCGGAGTGATAAAAATTGAAACAATTCCGTAAACTCAAAGCGCAGTGTAGATAAGTGAATCTGTATTTTACGCAGGGACTCCGGAGTTTCAACAAAAAGTCCGGCGGTTAATTGTATCGGAATAATTTTCGTCCGGGTGTAGGATAAAAGATAAACAAATACTGCCGAGATAAATAATAACAACGCGCTATCGGCACGCTGTTATTCAAAACAACATCGTTATAATATTATCACGCCTGCGCCCGCAGAAATATTATTGATTCTCGTCGACGGCACAACGGCGAAGGCGAATAATCGAACGCGGACGAAACACATCGCTTAATTAAAATCGGGGGAAAAAAAAAAAAAAATCAACAGATGTACGCTATACGCGACCGCCGTAACAACGTGGCCATCATTGTGGTGTCGAACAAAGACCCCGTCCCGTCCCCTAAATAATACCGCCGTAATAACATTCGTATTATTATAATCTGACGACGCCGCAGACACTGTACACACATCGCGCCGTTTCGAAATTAATTATTCCGTTTAATCGACCGCGGTATCAAACACAATGCGTTCCCGATAATAACGATAATGACAATAATGTAACCCCGGCGATTTTGTCCCGTCGATATTTCATATTTTCGGTAAACAGCTATGGACAATTCGTAGACGCTATCGTCTCGGTTACCGTCGTAGATTGCGGGCGCGTCAGCTCGACCGTAGACTGCCGACGTCGGGGGTCGCTGAAATTATAGACGCGTCACGGGCGACCCCGTCTCCGCGACGCTTGCACAAAACGAGCCGGCCGCGCTTGGCGAGAAAACGGCACACTGGTTAAAACCGTGACCGAAGAAAGTCCGACGGGCGGAAGACCGCCGGGTAGGCCGCGCCTTAGACGGGAGAACCGTGTAAAAAAGTGTTTCGAGAAAGCGAGGGCCCGGAGGAGAGTCGGAAAGGATCGGCGGACGACCGAGAGAACCGGGTGGGGGGGGGAGAATTCGTCTGACGGAAAGGCCGAGATCCGAAACGGAAGAGGAACAACGTAAAAATCGGGTAAACTATCGGACTCGGTTGCTTTGGCGCGGCTTTGGGACGGGCTGCAGCGTCGGCCGCCGCCCCTCCGGCCGAGTCCGGCGGAATCGTCCGGAAAAAGAACAGAGCGAATTTTCGAAAACATTTGCGACGAGCGTCCTCCGGCGCCGTCGAGGACTGATCGCACCGCCGTATGAGGGAGATGCGTACGACGCGTCGCCTCGACGGCCGTGAAGCGTAGGCCAGAGCGCGTGCGGGTTTCCGACTCGAACGGGACATCCGAACGGTTTTCGAGACGATGGTTCAAATCGCGCGAGAGGATTCGCATGATAACACGTAATATTATTGTCGTCGTGGTCCGGGGCGCCGCGGGCCGACGGCCCGAAACGCCGTATCGTACGCGTAACGCGAATCCGCGGGACGATGTCCGGAAGCGGGCGCGCGCGTACGGAAAAAAAAAAAACAACACCCGAAACGATTTTCCCGCCCCGTCGCCGTTCGAATGGTTTTTTTTTTTTTTTACCGTACACGTATACGTCATAATAATTTTTTCCCGGCCGCGCGAAACGGCCGGGAAGCGCCGAGGCACCTGCCCCCTGTACGCACCCGCCGAGGATTACGCGGAGCACTTTTCCGCGGCCGGTCCATTATTATCATCATCATCATCGCGATAATAATACGTAATAATATTATACAATGCAGGGGGGCGCCGAAGGATATCCATTAGAGGCGGCGGCGACGGCGGTGACGGAACACAATGCGCGCGAAAAGACGCGATTAACGGTCAAAAATGGGTCCGCGGCGGGGGACCCGACCCCGAGAAATTAATCATAATTTCCCGCCGAACACGTGCCGCGTACCATTGTACAATAATATACAATATTACCGTATTATCGTGCCGATTCGTAAAAGGAATCGTTCGCCGACTACGGGAATGCGATTTTGATATTATCGCACGATTGGGCGCGATATTAACGCATCGTTAATAGGACCGTTAATCGTCCGCTCTCGTCGGACTTTTTCGCGAAATCGGCCGTTAAGGTATAGACAAAATAGGCCTCAGATTCCGTCCGTTTAACGTCTCGCGGCAAAATATTAAATTATTCATTAAACATACGAATTTTACCGTCGTCGTGTTTGTAAATAATAGTTTTTAACTTGTAGATTGTTGTACAGTCAACCCGCGATACAACTAATACAACAACTCTGTCGGTCCCTTGAAAATCTCGTGATATACCGAAAAATGATGAGTACACGCGTATCAACGCCGATGATAATACAACGTCCGATCGGAGAGGAGAGGTAGCAGGAAGTGGAGGAGGAGAAATAGCGGTACGGGGTGGTGGAGAATTGGCAAGAGTACGAGGGAAAGTAGTGGGACAGGTCTCGAACGCGCGGCCGGCTATTATAATATTACGGGGCGCGCCGAGCCGTTTACTAATCGTCCCGCGACAAATTCGCCGCCGTAGGTTTTCCCGTCCTGTTTCCCCTCCCCCCTCCCCCCGAGAAAAAACGGGGAAGACTCCGCGGACCGTGAAATGAAGTAGTTCGGCGGGATATCGCCCGACAGAGCGGCCCGCGTCATTTATCATCCGTGTATTTTACGACGTTATTGTTGTTATACGTACGGCGACGGTGTGCGACGAGAGACCTTTGCGCGAGCCCGGGAAAAACACCCCTAAACCCCCTACCCTCAACCCCGCACACCCTTATAAATATATTATAGAAAAACAATATTATAAAATATATTATTATGCGGGGAGAGGGGTGTGGGGGGTGGGTGGGTGGGTGGGTCGCATGCCGAATATAATGGAATAAATAAACTGGCAATTTCAAAAATGTCCATTATAAAATACCGCGGTCGCGGTCGGAGCACTGCAGATTTTATAGATTCCAACCGATTTTTTTTTTTTTTTTATACGATATTACGGGCGACGCGAATAACGTAAAATCGAAATTATGCGGGCGGTTCCTCGCGGCCCAGTTTCTTTTTTTTTTTTAAAAAAATATTTTTTATTTATTATCATCGGTCTAGCGGTTCCCTATTTTCGGCGGCGGTTCTCGCGAAAAACTCGTAGGCGGTACGCGAAGAAATTTTTCGACGAGCGGGGAAAGAAAACATTATGAGTTACAGCGCGCAGTCCGCGTGTAATCCATAAAATATAATGGAATTAAAATAATGACCTCGTAAGTTTTAATATTTAGTTTTACTTTTGCGTATTAAACGTAGATTTAATAACAAAAAGCTCCGCAAGGAGGTTTTTTTTGTTTTGTTTTTTTTTTTTTTTTTTGTGTTAAGTAACCATGTCAAGTGGTACGTGAAAAATATCAACGTGTGAAAACGGTACGCGCATATGAAAAAGTCGAGAACCGCTGTGCTATTGTATCATATGGTATCTATATACGGGCATACGTAAACTGCGCCCAACGACCTGGGTTTTTTTTTTTTTTTGTAAACTTTGCCCGCGTTTTCACCCCCGTTAAATAAATACTTAATAAAAACTGCGCCCCGTTTATTATCGCCGTATTTTACACGACTTAGTAGGGTACTCAGCGATTGACCGTATGAAAAAAAAAAAAAAAATGACATTCGATAAAACCGTAGAAGGTTGGGTGAGGTCGTATACTCCTATACTTAGTATAGAACGCAAGGTAATCCGGAAATCGATGGAAACCCGATCAATCGGCACACGAATCGCGGTCAGCGTTTTGTCAAACGATATTCACGAAGAACCGTCGGGAACCTCGGATTTCCCGTTTGAACGAAACGACCCCGGGGAACGTAACGCGCGAATAATAATTTCGAGCGTACTCGCGGATCAAATAATTAACACTCGGTTCAGCAAAACCAATAAAGTTATGGGTGACTATGCTTAACGGTAACCCGGCATAGTTGGACTTGATACAAACGTCGGACACAACGGCCGCAGAGTCGAAAATTATCAATCGACGGAACACCGCGAAAAGAATATTACGGTCGTCTTTGTTAGGGGAAAAAAAAAAACAACCGTCAATATTATAATTGTTAAAACGGTTATTTTCGAATCCGGCGACAGCGGCAGCAGCAGTGACGGGGCAGTCGTCGTTTATTCGCGTTAAATTCCGCGAAATATAAATTAACTTTGCTCTTTATATTATTATGTCAATACGAAATAATAATAACAATACGGGAAACAACGAATTTCCATAATAATATTCTTTGTTAACCTCGAAAATGATCGATAACCAGTTATACGGCGCGTCTTGTTATTATTGTACGCTTCGGCAAAATATTATAAAAATAACAAACCGCCGCGCGCTGCCGAATTTGTCAACGCTCCGGGATTATTCTTACTGCGGTTTTCGGGGAACGTTAAAAACAATCGAACGGTACGGGGTGATGCGTTTATGACGGCCGACTGGCGTTTTTTCTACGGGGGTTTTCGTGTAGATTCGATTTCAGTTCGTTTTCCCGTCGGCCCCGGTCGTTCCGTTACCGGATCGTCAAACGTTTATTTCAACGGCGTTTTCGACCGTGCGCTCGCGGCGCTCCGCCGCGCCGCTAAAAACGGCCGCCGCGTGCGATATCGACGGTGCCGGCGGAAACCGCCGCGCGCCGCCTGCGTCCGCGGGAATTTACGTTTGTACGGGCGGCGAGGGGGTTTCTGTTCGGAAATCAAAAGCGCGTACAGCCGTTTAAGGTACGATAATAGTGTACAGAAGGAGCGGGGGCGAACGATCGCGACCGGAATCGGAATAAAACTTAAACAATCCCGTAACAATGGTTGAACGAGAAGAAGAAAAAAAAAAGGAAAAATACAGAAATCAAATTCGCTTTTTAAAATATTCCGAGAAAATCATCGGTTCGCGATAAACGGATACGACCAAAGCGAATTTCGTTGAAAACTGGCACGTGGCAATACACTATTATTATGTACAATTTCGTCTTATTTATTGTTCACCGTACGGTGGTTATACTCCGCATTACAGGGAAATTTCAAACGAAAATTACGTTTCGAAAACATACTACCCGTGTTTACGATTTCCGATCCGCACAGATTACATTGTATTATTATTTTTTTTATTTTTAATTTAATAACATAAAGGGCGTTGACCCAATTATAGTTAATAATATTATAAGAAAAAAAAATAAAAACTTTCGAAAAGCGCGCTTTTCCCCGTACGAGAATACGTGCACAAATCGGACGTTTTAAAAAGAAACACACACACACACACACACACACACACACACACACACACGTACACGCGTACACGCGTACAAATATCATTGTAAAACCAATTGGTTCCTCGGTCCTTTAGGATCTCGAATACATCTATGTATAAACGCACGTACCTGCAATATATAATTCACAGTAAACTCGGTACAGGTACGTATACAGCTAGAAAACTGCAAGCATTCAATTTGATTTATTGCCAGTTAAATTATGCCTGAGAATTGTGCCCGTTTTACCAGCAGGAATATGAAGGGGGAAAAAAATAACATCAGACTCGAGTGTATATCTCTAGAGATTTTCCTAGGGTTTTTTTTTTATCTTTCGTAAAAAAAATTACTCTATTTACTGCACGAATTACATCTTAGACAGGTTCAGAGACGCGATAAATAAATGTTACGGCGATGTCGTATAATAACAAGAGAAAAAAAATTTAATTTCCCGGCTTAAGAGTTTCGTTTCGATTTAAAAATTATTATTATCATCATAATAAATATCCGCGGTCTACGGCGTTTCAGACGTTCGGCGGACCGAGGAGAAAGCTTTGACCGCGACGATATGCTCGCGCGCACTATGAAATATGCTTTTGTTTTGTTTTCTCCGCGGGAAAATTGTCTTTCGGGGCAGTAAAAATGCCCGTAAAGATTTACGCGCTCCTTCTTAAAAACATCGATACGCGTATCATAACCGGCCGCAGATGGCCAATTCTCGATTTTCCCAATAGTTTTCCAATTACTATTATTATAACCGTGCGAAAAAACTGTACCGATAAATAGCGGTCGTATGGCTACCTACCACGACAAAAACTCGTACGTTTCGTTATTCTATCGCAATCAATTACACCATTTGATTTGTCCAACGACCGTTCGGCCGGCGTAACAAAACCAACGGAGTCGGTCAATCGTTTCCAAGACACCGTCGCATCGCGATAAAACGACACCGTATTACTCGATGTGTTTTCATCGAAAACTAACGGCTCAACGAAAACCGTAGCATAAAATTTGATTTAAATATGTAATTTCATTGCCTGTTCGTTTTATCATTACTGTATTTTACAATATTATCGAAGCGAATTTTTTTTCAAAGCCGTTCAAAACGAACAACAGTTCTGAGAACTCGTATAGTATTATTACAGCGACATTTTCTACTACCGCGATGCGCGCGCACGGTGAAATATAACGTACGGAATTCAGTAATTCGGTTTAATTTTACAGTCGAGCGGATAATGTATGATAATATTTTTCTATTATTATTATTATTCCTGCGCGATACCGTATAATTTTTAAAATAATTGTTTTGTCAGCCGTTTCAATCGATTTGTTTGAAAAAAAAACTTAAACACAATATCTATTTTCGTCGGGCGAAATCGGAAGAAAACATTAACCAGGCGTAGTAGGATATTTTGATTAGAGGCCGGGTAAATTGCATCAAAAACGGTGACGCACGGAAATCGGGAAAACATTTGTCTAAAACGTGTATTTTTCAGAAAAATATTTGTCCGGAATGAATTCCAAGCAAATTGTTATGTGGTAACGATATTTCAAAAGGACGGTAACATTCCGGAATGATATTGTGTAGGAATAATAATTTTGTCTGAAAGATAAAGATACGTCTGGAATTGTACGGATCCGGATGGTATTTCTCTAGCATATTACGCAAACGGACAGATATATTTTTCGTGAAAATATTGTTCAGGAAATTAGGAAACGTCGAGCGGAAATTTTCTCCGTAATTGCCGAGTGATGACGTTTTTCTGTTAATACATGCACGTGTACGTTTAATCCGAGTGGTGATAACAGATAGCCGTGATGTGATAACAGTTCGTGTTGAACCGTCCGCAGTTTTTAATTTTTCCTCGAGCCAAATACAAATGTCGTATTTTAATCCCATTATGGTTCCGTAAACTGTAAACAAATACAAAGCTACCCACTCGCAGTTTCAGGCGCTCTGGATCGATAGAAAACAAAAGGCGAAAACCGTTCAACATCCGAGCTCTATATAAATTTTAGGTTAATCGTATTTTACGTCACTATATAATATGATTTATACTCAAATATCAACGTTGCCTCGTATCTCCGAAAATATCAAAAACGATGTATACATTAAAGTTTACAGAAAAGAAAAACAGGAGTGCAGTTCAGTGTAAATACCGTGTGAAATGCACACAATCCAAGGAGAATAATGTGTAAAAGTTGAGACATTGTCACGTGTATCCGATATCAGCGTTTTCATCGAAATACCTCTTAAAATCTGGGTATAATTTTTATTTTGATAAATAATGGACAATTTATTTTCGACACAATATCGTTTTGAAATCAAAAACGAGTACTGAGTAAAACTGCCACTGAAATACAATTTTATAATAATCAGTTTTTTGCTTATATTTAAAAAAAAAAAAAATAAATCTTTTTTAGAGATACGAGGTATTTTTTTTTGCAGCGACATTAAATTTACGTCATGGTATCATTATTTACGGAATTTAATGATAACTATTATCGAGTACGAAAAAATGCATTAATAGTCCGTGATTCTGAGTCAGGTGTCTATACCATAGGAAAGACTAGCGGTTTCGTCGGATACGGTTCGTTCCTCGCGTCCTCGTTGTCTTTCTACGTCTCAAACGGCATAATAATCGCCGTGTCGGCGTTTCGGCTCTACCGACGGTCGTTATCGAGCACCCCGGTCCATTTGGTCCGGGACCAGCGTCCTCCCGCAGATCTCTCTATTTTTCCAAGTCGACCGGCCGTTTCAATTTCGATGCCGGCCAATGCCCGACAGCACCCGCTGTCACCGGCGTAACGCAGTTACAAATTTCAATTCCGGTTTTCTGCGGCTTTTCTCGCGGTCCGCTCAACGCAGGCACTACCGTACGCGTCACGTTTTTTTTATTTTTCTTCCGGAATACGCCGCAATAGATTCGCGGATAATGCGCGATAGGCGTAATACGGGAAACGCATCACGGCCGGAACATTGGGTTTACGTTACTTTTCTACCGGTCGACCGACGTTAACGGACGGGTCTCCGGTCCGTCACCCGCATTACGCCGACGCAACGCCTACATTGTAACGTCCGATCGACGGCGGCGAATCCGTCACGGTGCCGCATTACGTCGCGTCGCCGCACGATTTTTTTGTACGCGACGTAATAATTGTGTCGGCGTTATTAGTCGCCGTCCGCTCGTAACGGCGCGCAAGACGAAAACGGAACGCGACTGTATCGTAGCGCGCGATCGTCACGCCCGCCGTTGCAGGTGCGCAAAATCAACGGCGAGATTTCGCTTTAACGTGATTATATCGACCCCGGCGGTAAATGTGCTCGTGCGTGCGCGGTATGATAGCGATCGAGCAGTGGACCGCCGGCTAAATCGACGAGGTCGTTTGCTGTTGCTAAATTATTGTATTATTAATTGCACCGAACCGAACCGTCGTCTGCGTACGAGGGCTAATCAAAACGTATCGGGACTGATAGTATTGCTCGGAAACCGAGCGTTGAAGAGCAAAACGATTTGTAAACCTGGCTTCCGTGACTTATACCGAGCACGTCTATTCGTATAGAATCTCTATAAACGCCTTCGTTTTGATTTGACGACATTTTTCTAAAATTTGTTTTTCACGTTTGACGATTTCGTAATGAATCCAAAAGAAGCGGAACTCGCTGCCGCTCGAGCGCACATTTTCAGTTTTTCAATTGACGTTTAACGGCGAAAACCGTGAAATGTTGCATCCCTCTGAAACTGGAAAAAAAATGCAGACGAATTTTCTAAAATCTCCAAATCTGTCGAGTTACTGTTCTTTTGGGTTTATTACAAAACCGCCAAACCCGAAAAATATATTTTACAAAAATATCAGTGAAATCAAACCGAAGAATTTTATAGAGAAGCAATAAAAACAAATGTACTCAGAAAAAAGTCATAGAAGCGAGTGATACCA